AGAGCGGAGGTGATGTTGTGTGTTTGGACAGTCAAGATGAACCTCTTGCAGAGCCCTGGGGTCAGTCTCCAACTGGCGTCTCTATGGTGGTGAATTACTAATGGTATAATAGAGAGAGTACTTCAAGCTGCCAAGCGAAATGACACGAGAGCCTGGTACCACCGATGCGATGTCAGCAGGGAAGAAGACGTCCGCCGAGCCTTCCAGACAGCTTTGTCGGCTACAAGATTCCCGTTACAGGGTCTTGTCACTTGTGCAGGTATAACCAAAAAGGGACCGGTTGTTGGAATGTCTACTGACCTTTGCAGGCATAAGCGGCAAGGGACCAGCTGTCGAAACATCCATTGAGTCTGTGAATCGCATTATGGATATCAACTTTAATGGCACATTCATATGCGCGCAGGAAGCAGCTCGAGAGTTTCAACGGAAGGGGGTTCCAGGAAGCATGGTATTAATCGCTAGTATGAGCGCCCATGGCAGTAACAAGGTAATATATCCAACAAAGGGGGGAACTACGGTAATATTTCAATTTACTAAAGAGAATGCAGGGAGTCAACACACCAGCATACAACTCATCAAAAGCGGCAGTGGTACAGCTTGCACGGTCTCTGGCAGCGGAATGGGGAAGTAATAAAGACTACCCACTCATTCGCGTCAATACTGTGTCCCCAGGGTACATCAGAACGCGTATGACCACGCCAACCATGCTCGAGGATGGATTGGAGCAACAGTGGTCCGGAGATAACATGATGATGCGAGTGAGCACTGCAGATGAGCATAGAGGGGCAATCATTTTTCTCTTGAGCGACGCGAGCAGCTTCATCACCGGTGCTGACCTGAGGGCTGATGGCGGACATACGGCTTGGTAAAGTGGGAATTATCAGCGCTGAATTGACTACGTCAGTTTTTTCCGTTGAGATACCCTTCTACGCTTGAATATGGGAAACCGAAATTTCATTGCTTATTTTGAGTCGCTACACTTGAGGGTTTCTCGCGGTTGAGATTGTGGCCGTATCCTATTTAAGTGTTCTTAGATTTATTGACAAATCCCTTGATGACGACGAAATTAACAAGACAGATTTACTCTATATCTCGTAGCCCACATTTATCAACAGGCTTTGGCGTAAGGTCTGCCCTCTGGAACAAAACACTGTCCTTTTCTTCCTCCCGCTTGCCCATAAGCCGCTTCAGGTTTTTCACCAAATCCCACCCCAGCAGATTGTGCAATCTCATCCCCAACCTCCTAATCCAATATTTCTGGTGTTATGCTCCTACCTAGTGGCTCCAGCTGCAGCGCGAAATATCCACTGCTGCGATCGGACGAAGCGTGATGCCTTTGGGAATTACCCTGACTACATGCTTGATCAACCGAATGATGGCCGTGCTCATGACCTTCTACTGACTCGGAAATGGGTCTGGCATCGACAGAAGTAGACACCTTTTGCAGCCTGGGATGCTCCAGATCCGACACATCCAGTAGTGCGAGCCGGTCTCCCATTGCCGTGCGCGGAATATCATCCGCTCCAGACTCCCATTGCCCGCAGCCCAGCTCCTCGTGAGCGAGGCGCTGTAGCTGGAAGGTGTCATTAGTTACCCATTCCAGATAGGCAAAATGATCAAGGCCCTTCCGGCGATGAAAGGAACGTATGACACATTCCATTGTGTAGGAGACAATGATGATGAGGCATCCAATGCTGTAGATGATGGACAGGCTGAGTACGCTGAAATTTGTAAATCTCGTTGTCCGGATTTTCTATAGCCGTTAGTATGGAGTAAATGTACAAATATAACTGAGTAGGGACTAACCTGATTCCGACATATTTTTTTGCTTTCCTTATCCTTCGGCCTCTCCATGAAATTCCACAAACGATCATCCGTAGGACCGTATGCTGTATTGATTGGAATCTTCTGTAGATATGCCAGACGCGTAGCAAACCAATTATCCACTTCGATTTGCCACTGATTCTTGGGCAGAGATCCTGAAACCCCGCCCGTTAACGACAGTCTCGCTGTTAAACTGGACAATCCTAGAGTTGCGATTATAGTCGCAGAATTGATCGGCTTCAGGGCTTGGAGGTACCAATCAAAGGCTCGTTGCTGACTTTCGGAAGTGCCGAGCTGCATAAAGCGCGTTCCAGCCGGAATGTATCCAGAAAGCGGCACGCATCCGTCTCCAGATTTTTGCTGCCGTGCTGCATCACACCACTGGTACTGCTGGGCGCAGGAGAGGACGCTGACAGGCTGGTCGGCGAGATAAACCTCTGCGAGTCGCAAAGTCGAATTATAAACGTGCGCCGAAAACCACGGGTCGTCGACAGCCTTTGTGTAAGCAATCCCATTGGCCGAGAGAAAAACTAACATTACGTCGGCGTCAGTCCGGCTTAGCTCTGGGATGGGTATAAACTCCGAATTTTCTATGCTTGATTCAAAAGCCAGGAGTCTACTATTCGCAGATAGTCAGCACGTATTACTAATCATCAGGGAGTCATAAAGTCGGTTTACGTTATACTGTAGTCATCAGGCGCCGTGCCGGACCAATACCGATGAAGTGGCTGGCTTTGTGTAGTGTATATATAAGTCTCATTTCTGTACTTCCCTCGAGATCCGTAATAGAAGGAGACGACCTGGGCAGTTTCATCTAGCGTAGAGTGTTTTGTGCTGTTTAGCAACGCGCAATGCTCGACAGCGCGGTATAAAAATCGTTCGTTGGGGGGAGCGTTCATGCCGAGATCGTCATGGCTGTTGATGTACCCGGAATCGATATAAATCGTATCTGTATCGTTGAGGCAGAGATGACCGAAAGGGCACTGGCGATCCATCTGTACAGTATACGGAAGGCTGGTCTTGGTAAATAGGGGGCATTCTTCTGGGGTCGAGTTTCCCCGATAGCATTCGCGTGCGTAGCTGTAAGCAGTCGTCATGCGCTGGGTCAGAACCGGGTTCCATAGTTCATATCCGAGTGAATAGTTTAGCACCAAGAGCTCCGATTCGATGCAGCAGTTGTCGCCGGTGACGAGAACATCATTACCGCTTGCTGAAGATACCTGGGAGGAAAATACCCCGGCAACACCGAAGGCTGTGACTGAAAGAATGGTGGATAACAAAAGCGGTAGAACTCGGTAACAAACTCGTCGGGCGTGCTTCTGCCATGTCCAGGAAATCTGAAGGATCTTTCCGAGGCCGGTAATTCCGTTCGCGGTATTTCGGAGCAGTGCTTGCCTTTGATGATATAGGCCATCTTCGGCGGATCGGGAAGAAAACTGCAAGTGGATAGCGAAACACACGATGCGCCAGAAACAGGTTCCTATCAATCATTAATTACGAAAAGTATATGTGAGCCGACGACGGACCGACGAATGTGATGAAGAGCGCGTTGAAAGTCGTTAATAATGCGCCGTTAGCTCGAGTCAACGTCAGGGTCGCCCCACGTATGGATCCGAGAGACCAGTTCGTCCAGAGTCCAAGGTAGACCTCGCTGTCTTGAACAGAGTTTCCCATTGAAGGTGAAACATCCATTCTGCATTGATTCAATGGCCGAAAAATAAACAGATCAATATGTCTGTGGTCAAGTTGTTATCGAGAGTAGCGGTCAGATTCGAATCGGCTGAAACACGGAGGAAAAGCGAGATTTACAACATTTACCTTTGGAGTGAAATTTGGGTGAGCCCATCTTATCTATTCTGGTCAAGCCACAGCTGATTATAGCTGACGCCGGATCATGACGGAAGCTACATGCTGGATGATTTCTAGAGATGTCAGAAACCGAAAACGATAGGCAGTCAGCTTGATTATAAAACCGGAGTGACCGACGATCGTACTACATTGTGTAACAGCTTGGCCACGATAGGGGCTTCTTCATGCATACCCGATAAAATCTGGAAATAGCGCATCTCCAAAAGTAAACAGGCCCCCAGTAAGAATAAAGAGGATACGATGTTTCCACATCACCGCTTCACAAGCGTCACCCTAATGTAGCACAGCAGTACTGAAGCAAGCCAAACTACAAGGTTGTTGCTGATTGATCCTTACCATCCCACCGGCTACGTTTTTTCTAAGGCGCCCAGATGGTAAAGAATTGGGACTGACAGAAATCGGTCTTGAATCTTGCAATATTATTTTGTGACTAGCCTGGCCGCATGTATTCCAATGAGCCAGAACAACTACTTTCGAAGCCCCATTTATAAATAGATCACCAGTAGCGCCGAGCAGTCTGCCCGCTGATTCACAGTCTAGTGTTGGCAAACGGCATGCAAAAAAAAAAAAAAAAACAGAAAGAAAGAAAGCAATGATATATCGTGCATACAACACGCCCTCTTTCAACATCATGTATAATGAGAGCTGAGACAGGTCATATGGACCGACTAATAGCTTTTACCAGTGAGTGGGACATTTTGCAACATTGGTGTTTTCTTTTCTCGGGGGGTGTTTACAATGCCGAATAAAGGCCACACGAGCGGCATAACGTCATCAGGATGCCGAGTAAAGGCCACACGAGAGGCATAGCGATGCATTTCGCCCACAACAAAATCAAATCAAGAGTTTTCAAGAAAAAGGAAGGTGCAACATGTATCATGACGTTCTCGCGTTTGTAATATGTCGGTAACCCTGTCGAAGCCGCAGTGAAATAGTCCCCCGAGCTATAGCATCGCGAGTTGCCTTATTTGGACCCTTTCCCATCGTTCAGAAGAACAACAGACAGGGGAAGCGCAGCGCAATTTCTTTCACGTAATAGCCTGTCATTTATCGTCTGAGCTGGCAGCCAACACCGCGTGACACGCCACGAATCTCGCACCGCTGGAAAGACTTGCCTGAACGAGCCCTTTCGTGAACATCAACCCGGCAGAAGGATCCCAGTCGGGCTTTCTTTATTTAAATCGCTCCCCTGTGTCTCTTGGAAGATCATCTTCGTCCTTTTGTTCATTCTCAGTGGAACCAATAAACCAAAAATCCCAAGCTCATAATGTCCGCTACTCTCAGACTTCCACGACTTCTTGCAACCCATGCAAGTAAGCGTGGCCTCTCCACTCTCCACCGCCCACTCGCTGCCCCGAAAACCACGTTCTCAAGCCATCGCCAGCAACTCCAAGGCATCCAAACCACCCCTCCACCCCCTTCCGACCTCAAAGTCAACGGCGCGAGGTTGATGGAAACGCTCCACCACACCTGCTCCTTCGGCACCGGTGAACGCTGGGGAGAGTAAGCCACCCATCGTCACTCTCCCTACCCTTCTCCCCTTCTCCTCTCCTCTCATCCCATCCCATCCTCCCCACCCAACTAACACCCCACCCCCACCCCAGCGCCCCCACCGAAACAGGCATGACCCGCCTCTCCCTGTCCTCCGCCGACAAACACGTCCGCAACTGGCTCGTCGCCACGACCAAGAGCCTCGGCTGCACCGTCACCGTCGACGCCATCGGCAACATCTTCGCCGTCCGCCCCGGCCGCCGCTCCGGCTCCGCTGCCCCGGCTACCTTCGCCGGCTCGCACCTCGACACGCAGCCGACGGGCGGCCGGTACGACGGGATACTCGGTGTGGTGGCGGGTGTGGAGATGCTCCGTGTGTTGGCGGAGAGAGGGGTGGAGACGGAGTACCCGGTTGGCGTGGTGAATTGGACGAAGTGAGTTTGTGTTGCTGTCCCTGTTTGTCGGGCGTTGCGTTGCTTTGGGCTGACGCTTCGGCAGCGAGGAGGGCGCACGGTTCCCGATCAGCATGATGGGCTCGGCCGTCTGGGCCGGCGCCGTGCCGGTCGAGCAGGCGTACGGACTGCGCGAAGTCGGCGGCGGCGGTGGGGATAATGCCACGCTGAAGTCTGAGCTCGAGCGGATCGGGTACCTGGGGGCCACGCCGGCGAGCTACCGCCATTTGCCGATGGGTGCGCATTTCGAGCTGCATATCGAGCAAGGTCCGGTGCTTGAGGCGGAGGGGAAGAAGATTGGTGTGGTTGAAGGCGTGCAGGCGTACAAGTGGTTCACTGTCGATATAAAAGGACGCGGTACGTGCTATGACGTTGACCAATCCGGCGCGGGATCTCAGACTGACATTTGAATGGTGCAGAGGCGCACACCGGCACCACTCCTCTGTCCAACCGTACCGACGCCTTGCTCCTGGCTAGCAAACTCATCCTGCACTCCCACCGCCTGGCCACTGCACACAATGCCCTCGCCTCTACCGGCATCCTCAAACTGTCCCCTGGCTCGACCAACACCATCCCCGGCGCCGTCAGTTTTAGCCTCGACATCCGCTCGCCATCAGACTCCGTTGTCCTCGCTGTCGAAAAGCAGCTGAAGGAAGACTTTGCACGCCTGGCAGCGGGCGAGGACATTGGCGGTCTACAAGCCGGTGGCACGCTGGGAAAGAGGGAGCACTTTGACGTTCAGTGGCGTACGGATAGCCAAACCACGGCGACGGTGTTCCACGAGGACTGTGTGAGGACGGTACGGGAGGCGGCGATGGATGTGCTTGGTGGTAAGGCAGAGCTGATCAGGAACATCGCGTCTGGTGCTGGACATGACAGCGTGTATGCGAGCAGACACTGCCCGACGAGCATGATCTTCGTGCCGTGCAGGGAGGGTATTAGTCACAACCCGACCGAGTGGGCGAACCCGGAGGACTGTGAGACTGGGGCGCAGGTGCTGTTGCAGAGCGTTTTGAAGTACGATCAGCTCAGGAAGAGGACGGCATAAATACTGTGTACTGGAGACTACGATTATTTTGGCAGATGACTCAAGCCAGCCACGCATCCACAATCCCCTTCAGACCCTCAGCCATCCACTCATCGTCGACACTGCTTTCCCCATCAAACCCATGATCACCATCCCTTATCGTCAACCGAAACTTCGCACCAGGATCTATCCTCTTCACCACCTCCTCCAACTTCACACTGCCCTCAACCGGCACAATCGAATCCTGCCTCCCATGCCACACAAACACACCACCCCTCGGAAACCTCTCCCCACCGCTCCCCACCCTCTCCAACGGAAACAGCTCCCTCCTCTCCCGCGGAAAGTACTCCCTACAAAACCCATCCTGCGTCATCGCGAACATCAACGGGCCGCGCTCGAAGCGCTTATCCTCCGACACGACATTCGGCAGCGCGCCCGTCCGCACCTTCTCGAGGTGCTCGTCGATAAAGCTCCTGGGCAACTGCGGCACGTCGAACATGCGCTTCTCGTACGCCTCGGTGAAATGCCTGCTCAGGACGTCGACCATCGGGTACGCGGCCGTCACCGCGCGGATGCCGTCGGCGTGGCTTAGGCCGAGCTGCAGGCTGAGGTACCCGCCCGCGCTGTCGCCGGACGTGATGATGCGGCCCGTGTCGACGCGGATAGCCGCCGCCGCCGGGCCTGTCTGCTGCGCGAGGAAGGTCTGGAGAGAGGCGTGGATCCAGGTCCAGAAGTCCTCGATGTCGGCGAGGATGTCGGCGACGGTGGACTCCGGGAGTAAGCGGTAGTTCGGGCTGACGATGATGGCGGAGTGGCGCTGGGCGAGGGATAGTTGCCAGGGCGCGAAGAAGTCGGGGAAGAGGCTTGAGCCGGCGATTAGGCCGCCGCCGTGGAAGCGGAGGAGGAGGGGAGAGGGGGGGCGGGAGGGCTGCTGGGGGGTCGTGGTGGTGTCGTCGAGGAGGTGGATGGGGACGAGGACGTCGGTTGTGAGGGCGTGGGAGGAGACGGTTTTGTAGGTTGTGCGGAAGATGCGGAATTTGTCGAAGCGCGAGAAATCGTCGGGGTAGAATTGCACCATGGTTGAGGGATAGAGTGGGTGGAAGATGCGGGTAGGATTAGATGTCTTTGTGGTATTGCAACGCGGGGAAGTGATATTTAAAATAAAGTAGGCGCCTTTAAAATACACTAATTACCTCGGTAGAGATGGTGAAATAAGTAAGCTTACGGGTGCTACGGAGTTATTCAATGCCGAGCTTTGTCGGCGTATTAAGTAATCGTCTATTACAAATAGATATATTAGTGCTGAAACAGGTACGAGAGCCTCTACATTAGTGCTGCACGGATGAGCGGTACAAGCACTGTATGTATATGGCAATGCAGGAGGTTGCATTAATGCATCGTCTGAAGGCTTTTCAGCTGCAATTTATAATTCAATTTGGTTCGGATAGTGAAGTCCGGCATGGTGAATGTGCTGCAACTGAAAAGTTGGAGCGGATTTGTGCATTTAAAAGCTGACATGTTAAGCGGACAATGATGACTAACAGTGCGGAATTTGTCCGTAACTGCCTGTTGCTGACTCGACGTTGTCCCGTATGGCTCACTCTACAACCACATTTATAACGCAACGGGTGAGGAGCGTTTCAGGCACTTGCCATCATTTTGCAAATAAGAGTCTGGCGCAAGTTGGCTTCTAATGAACCTGATTTTATATTTTGTGCTTGACATAAATGAGTAATACTACCTGGTTTTCTTGGCTCTACTGCATCTCGGATATGGTTACAGGTGCATGAAGTTCCTGCGCCGGAACACCAACTGCCATCTCCGGCGTCCGACCTGCGCCCCCCATCTCTCGGATCATCGAGTCATTAGTCATCTCTGAGCCTGAGTGCGCGGCCTTTTTTGCCATCATTCCATTTGCACCCGTGTTCGCCCTAAGCCGCTTTCTTCGAAGCATATAAAAGATGAAACCGATTAACGCGCAAAGTCCATAAATGCCACCTACAAGAGTTCCAACAATAAGACCCGTCCTACTTGCATGGTGCTTAGTCTGCTCAGTTGTTGTATTCTGCGATGTCGTATACTGCGGATGAAACATCTGGGACACAGCAGCTTCCGTTCATTCAATCTGCAAATTGTTTACAATGATGATGCCAACGCGAGCATTGATCATCACTCAGATCCTACCGTGGCGACAAACAAAATCACACATTGAAGCCATTCCTCACTCCCTGCACTCCAGCCTTCTGATGGTGACATCGTGGTACGAAATAGAAGGGTCGGGTAGTCCGATCCTGGACGCCTTATACTAGAGCAACGATGATGATGTAGGCAGATATGCACTATCTATGGATAAGCTTTCTTGGCTGCACCCTTTGTAGTTAGGTTATTCTCTGTATGGCTCCATCTCGGCCCGTGCTGCCACACAAAGATAACAGCTACATTCCTGTTGCCGTACTTGATGTTTCACTGGCGCTCCCTTAGCAAGCGATATCAATGTCACTGATGCAACGAGCCTGCTTGAATACAAGGTCGCAACAATCTATTGTGACAGATCCAATAATACATAACAAGAAAATATATCTAAATTTACTCTCCGTGCCGTTGCTTCGGCAATCTTGACCCTAACGGCAGACAGATATTTCTCCACCCCGAACCCCTTGTGTCACAAATACCATACACGCCCCCAAGCTAGCAAAGTAAGGACAAACAGCCCAGTCACCTCAACAAAGAGACCGCCACATTAGAAAGAAGGATCCCACCAAAACCAGGAAAAGGCGTCACACAGTCGTTGAAAAAAAAAAATCTCGAGTCAGATTCATGCGGCTTATCACCACCTTCTCATCCTCCTCCATTGCGTCACCCTCCTCCCCTCATCCCACTCTTCTCCTTCCCCTTCTCCTTCCCCGGAAACTCCAACTTAAACCCGGGATCCCTCACCAAAAACGCCTCCCAATCAACCCCGCGCTGCCTCTTCCACACGCTGCCGTCCGGCTGGTGCACGTCCTTGTACTGCTCGGGCTCGAAGGCCTGGCAGTCGGCCCAGCTGCGCACCATGCGGCGCCAGTAACACGCCTCAGCGGCGGGCGTGAGGTACCGGTCGCGGAAGGTCGCCGCTGAGGTCTTGGCGACGCGCTCGGCCAGGGCGGGCCGCGCGAGGTAGTGTTTGATTTTTTCTTCCAGGTCCGAGAAGTCGTTGCGGACGGCGATGTAGTTCTGTTTTGTTGGTTGGTTGGGTCAGCCCTGCATTGCACCGCACCCAGTACCAAGCACCACGCCACCCGGGATACCCATGCCCCACCCCCCACGACCACGGAACCAAACACTCACCTGCTCCGGCCCCTCCTCAACAAGCAAATCATAATAATGCGCCTGATACTCCAACGGCTGATGCACGACAGCCACACTCTCGCAATTCTGCAAATACCTCAACCGCCCGCTCCACGCGATGCCCTCGGTGTGTATCGCGAACATGTACTTGCAGAACTCGGCCATGTGCAGGCGGTGCCCCTTCATCGTCGCCACGTCGGCCCAGCCGTCGGACGACGTGTTGTTGACGACGGCCATGAGGGCTTCGCGCACGCCGTTGTTGATGTTGCCGCGCCACGCCGCCTTCGGGATCTTCAGCGCGAAGGGCTCTTCGATGTGGCGCAGGCGGTCGCGGAAGGAGATGTAGGAGCCTAGGTCCGGGTTGGGGAACTGTGGTGTGGGTGGGTGGTTAGTGGTTGGTGGTTCGGGAATGTGGGGGGCCGTGGGGGGAGGATGGGGGGGATGCGGGGAATGTTGTTTGTTTGTTTGTTTTGCGGGGAACCGTGGTGGAGCGGATGGTTGGCAGTGTTGGGGATGGAGGGGCGGGCTGGTGGGGGATGGGATGGGCAGGGCAGCGCATCTGGATTACTCACAGCCCAACCGTCAAAGTCCGGCGCTACCCAGGTGTTGAGGTTCTTCATCGGGCGGTTCCAGGCCCACACGATGCGGTCGGCCGGCGCGTCCAGCACCGGCGTGTCTTCAATGTCGAGGATGAACTCGACGTTGGGGATGGTGGTTGGGTCGTCAACAGCAATCAAGGCGCGATACAGGCTGGACAGGCCGGCATAGCCGCGCGCGACGTTGCTGGCGCCTTGCATGTAGTCGATGATGTAGAGCTGCGGGTGGAAAGAATGGTCAACATGGGGCCAGGACTGGGAGGTTTTTGCCGAGCGAGTGATGTACCTGGCCGGTGTGGATGAGGACGTGGATTTGCGCGTGCGCCCATGGCTTACGCTCGCGGTATATCTTGACCTGGTCCTGCTTAATGGAACTGGGGCCAAAATGGTCGTGGGCACGGTTGATCTCTGTATAGAGCTTTGGGAAGGCAATCTGACGAGACTGTCAGCCAGTATCTTTGTTGAAGTCTTCCGGGCGGGCGAACGTCGCATTGCTCATCCGTCAACCCCAGATTTCTCGAGTCTCGGATGGGTTCAAAATGCCAAGTGGACCCTTGGCCCCAGAGATGTTTCCATGGCGCGGGCCTGTCCGGCGATGCTAGTCGACGGGGAAGTGCGTTAACAAAAAATATCAACAAAGCGACAACGGCCGAGGCGCAGGCTACGTAGAAAAACATGGACCGGTGCCCCCGCATCCACTTAGGTTTTGTTGACAGCGGCATGACGTGCATACTTGGCTGGTCGGTTGTTTTGATTCAGAAAAAAAAAAAAAGTCCGGAGTCTTCTTGTTGCTGGAGTGCAAATAACCACCATAATCGGTGATGGTAGTAGTGGCGAGACACGAGAACGCGAGCGCGGCGCGAGGGGGAATGTTAAGAATTCCAGGAAGTCTGGGCCAGCGCGTGGTCATTCGCCAAGCTTAATTTTTTGACTCTCGCCATCCTGCTGCGCTCGGCAGGGCTGTGCAGAGAAGGGGTGCGCTGCATTTCGGTAGGCTGGAGTCTCGCACGCCGGGCCGGGGTGCGGAATTTGGCGGATCTGCCATCAAACCAGGGGGGTTGATCAGGACGCGCGGCGACAACTGAGGCAGGGACTGTCGCGCTTCGTCGGCCCGCTGGATAAGCTCGTCGATGACGTGACCAGTGCTGTGTTTCATCCAGTCATGGGTGGTGGCATACCTCGTGTTCGCGGGACCACTCTCGCTATCGCCATGGGATGTGCGGCTGATAGAGCTAGACCTTGAGCCGGCTTCGACGACACGCCTTGCGTGCGCCACTATCACCCCCGGCCTATTGTTAGAAATCCGGTGAAGGGCGGAAGCGGTAGAGATGGCGATGCGACGGGGTGTGATTGGATGTTCGTCCGCATGTGTCAAGGGGGAAGCGGTTCCCGCGGATCGCGGCTGCTTTCGTCCATCAGGTATCCCATGGAATGCAGCCAGTGTCGTTTGCACTAGGCCTCTGCAAAAGATGGCGTATCTGTCACATATAACCGATGCCGCCTTCGCATGCCGGTCGCTTGCTTGCAGGGTACTTTCGTGGCTGTGCCGCGGGGTAAAATTCTTGACTGCGTGCTAGTCTTTATGCAGAGCTGAAGACTGTGTCAGCCCATACAGAGTTTGGTCATCTAACGTAGATGCAGCACGCCGTCTCCTGTACATGCTCCTTGGGATTGCTGGAGCTGATGGATGGATGACAGAACCGGACTCCGCGGCCCGCGCCGAGCGTGTCCGATCAGCGACCACCCTTGGAGGTGGGCCTAAACAGGCCGATGCGTCATGGTGCTTGATTCGCGCAGCCGTGCCGAGTCGGGCTGGATCTGCTCGCAAGTGGCCTGACTGGAACGCTGATAAGGACAGGGTTTCAGGCCGGTGGGCTGGAGACGAGCGGTGACGCAGTGGCCAGACACATCGACGGCCGAAATGAAACGCGAGGCAGATTTGGGCCAGTACCAAGCATTGATCTACCCGTCACCATCGAACCCGTTAAATGCCGCCATGTAGACGCCTGGCAAGCCCCTGACCGGGGTAGCGCCCGTTGAGTCGGGAACGGTGGCGCTTGCGATAACGCTGGCGGCTGTCGAAGGGTGAAAGCTGTTTATTGATTGTCAGAGCAGAAGTCTGGGGTGCAAGGGAGGCATTGTGGGGTTGTGCCAAGTCGCCTTGGCGCACTTAATCTTGCACCCATCGTAGCACGCCAAGAAAGCCAAGCAATGAGTGTAATTCTCTCAAAAATGTGGAGTCTTTATTAAGATCTACCAATCCCTTCAACGATTATCAAACAACCACTTATTCTCTTCCGCATACTTTGACGGAAAAGGCGCGTAACCCTTACAATGCACCACAAAGAACTCACGATCCCGTCGCTCCACTATCTCGCAAATTTCCTCTACTTGCCAGTCCTTCATTTGCAAGAGGCAACCTTCAATCTGGATACTTTCAAGCGTGGCTTCATGCATGAGCAGTACGGCTTTCAGAGTCTCGAACGTCACTCTGGACGAGGTCAAAGCCAGAGACTTCAACTTCGGCATTCGCATCCCATCCCCCAGAATTCCGTTCAGCACTTCTCGTTGATGGCAATCCGAGGACGTTAGGGAGAGACTCTCAAGACCGGGCGCCGCGGCAGCCAGGATGGCGCGCATGTATCGAAACATCGACGGGTGCCTGATGGCCCCATCCACTAACACAAAGTCAGTAGGTTTACGCGAAGGAGAAGGGTTAGCCAGCCACTTACATTGCTCGGTTGACTCCACACGCAAATCAAGGCTCTCCAGCCCGGAGATAGGTTCCAGCTCCCAGGCAAGTGGAGAAATATCAGTCGGCGGTGGTTTTGTCAGTTTCCCACTGCAGGCAGCCTGACTGAACAGCTCCACTTCCTCGAAAGCAAGTTCGGGCAGATGGTTGGCAGCTCTCTGAACCGCGGCCATAACGCAGTGGAATGCCCAAGAAGACATGGGATACTGAGCAGCAAGGGCATGCTCTAATGGTTCGCGGCTGGTAATTACTGGGAAGGCTCTCAGTCTCACCCGTCTCAAGATTCTCAGATTACCGAGGATCTCTGACAATAGACGGATGTGCAACTCGGACTGGCCCCTGACAAGGTTTTTCTGGATGCGGATCGGACAGTCGGCCAATCTTGGATCCTGGTAGCATACGTGTTCCTGATCCGAATCCTCGTCCTCTGTAACAATGAATGGAGACAAGAGGTTGACTGTTAATATACGGCCAGCGAGATCGTAGTTCCGAGACAGCGGGAGAAATGAGCGTAGCCCAGATTCTGTAAGGGTGACAAAGTGGACCGATGGGATGCATTGCGCAAAGACGTAAAATGTTGTCTTCGATAGTCTCCGGCTCGCCAAACGCAATGATTTCAAGTCGTTCGAGCAGAGCCGCTGTGCAATCTCGGTGACGAGCTCTTCGGGAAGCGACTCGATCGACGAGACCTTTCGAGGACCCGGTCCGGCCTTATCATTTTCGATTGATCCCGATGCGGCCTGTTTAGATGTAACATTTGCAGCCCCGGGTTGGGTGTAGTCAATCAACCTCAGCTCTTCCAAAGAATAGTCCTGACATGGGCGCTGGAAGCCGATGTTTTGATAGAGCTCAAATGTACCATACGAAGTATCGAGGTCGCGGAAGAGGGGAACGAAGTCGACTTTGGTTGTGCCAGCGACGTTCTCAGAAACCGGTGGTTGTGAATCGACCGTGTGATAACATGGAAATCGTACCGCGCCTGGACCTACCATAATTCTGAAGGGCAGAATGTGTCTGTGGTGAATGCGCAACTCTATTCGCAGGAGCTTCTCTGGCAATGAGTCTCGCGGCACCCAATAAATAGGTGAGAGCCAGAGCAGGGATTGTTAGGCAACATAAGCCGCCGAGCCGTAGCCGAAGGCAGCAGCGCACCACTACTCAAGGCATCCCAGCTTCAGAACTTCACGCAATGTGTACAGAGTAAGACCCCAGGCATAATTATGCCCCAGCTCTTTTCTTTAAAAAAATAACATATGTGGGTAGCTGAAGCTATCGTCCGGACTTGCATGTAGAATTTTTACACACAACATGAGCAAAACTCCACGCTGGCCATCGACTGCAAGAGCGGACTGTAAAAGCGCGATACCGGAAATTCTCTCGCTTTGATTAGATGGATTCGTTCCAGCTGAAAGACCGGAATATAATTTGAAGGCTGTGCTCCAAAATACCAAGCCAGCTGTGCATGTAAGCGGAGTGTCCTCGCATCTCGAACAATTATTTGAATTGTGTTAATTTCTTTTCGGTGCGTAAAACACCATCAATATACAACAGGCTGACGGGGACAGACAGTGGCCGTCATCTCGCAAAGCTTAGGGAGGGGATCACTCGGCAGAACAAGGCGCCAGGCCATGCCGAGGCAACACCGCGTTCGAGTTCAAATTTCTGAGTAAATACAAATAAAGATAGTAGACGATAATACTCGCACTCTGATAATAGAAAAGACAGAATTCCAAAAGCTCATTTTTGCCGATTTGTGGATCGATCGTCAAGCTCTTCTGGTGACACTGCACGGCGACTGGTGTCTTCACCGTCAAAGTATGAGCGGAACGATGTGCCCAGAGATAGAGGAGAAAGCTGCATGGGAGTACGTAGTGGATCTCCAGGTGATGGCGGGTCCACAAGACTCTGGTGTGTGGATGGAGGACGGTATAGCCGTGATGATGTCAAATCTTCGGACAGAGCCAAAGAGCTCCGATGAAGGGAAGGACCGACGGACAAGCTCCAGTTCGCTTCAGGCTCAATGGCCTCTGGTTGGTTGTTGGAAGGGTAGTCCTCATGGTCCTGCTGGTCCTCTTGGCTTTCCAACAATGGTTCTTCGCCTCGCTGTGATGCGTTCCCGTCTCCACCATTTATCAACAAACCATTGTTCTCACTTGAATAAGGCCAAGCTGGATCATCTTCTTGAGCAGGTAGATCATCCCAGTTGCGTCGAACCACACCGTCGCCAATGTCAATGCCCCACCTCCATCGAGCAGTGTTCCCGGACTTCGTTTTCCACCAGCCGAGTTCAGCTGTCTCCAAGAATATCTCGGATTCTTTGGCTCCTGAGGAATCCGGGCTCTCTTCCCGTAGTCTCTGCACAAGCCGGCTACCTGCGAGCAGAGAAAGCCGAGCTGCGATGGAGTCTGGCTCTTTCGGCAGAAGAGCTGGACCCGAAAATCGGAAAAATATCCAGACAACGCAACACAAGACAGTTCCGAGAAGTGATTCAAGAATGATGGTAGTTCGGAGATCCTGACGTATGCGAGGGCGGTGCATGGAGAGGGTGCCGGGCCGAGTGACAGTTGCGTTCGGCGTCTGCGTGAAGTTGGTCATGAAGGACCTCATCTCAACTATAATTTCCGTCTGGTAGGCTGTCAGCATTTGTTCAGCCGCCTCCCGTAGCCCCTCGGGATCTAAAAGCCTCGTCAGGTTGTGCATTTGGTATTCTCCATAGGTTGCTAGAAGCTCGAACATGTTTGCGCTTATTCCAACTGCCGGCCAAAGAGACGTGCCATACAGCGTACCGAGCTGATCGATACCAGAGTCGTCGATTGAACCCGGGTATGGGGGAAAGAACCAGTCTGGGATGCCATTATAAGTTCCCCGATACGACAAGGAGCTTCTATCGAATCTGGACGGACGCCAGGGAAGTTTTACAACTGTGCCGTTGAGACCAGACCTTGTCGACCGAGTGAAAATAGCACTCACATCTACCAAACTTAAATTGGAAGTACATATAACCGCTCGGATCGATGGCAAAGACGAGTTGAAAATATTTGGTAGGATTTCGGATCCTTCGTCGGGGAGAGGTGTATTATTGAAGACTGGTTCGAGCCAGGGAGACCAATCCACAATCGTAACCTGATAACCATCGGAATCAAAATAGGCGTCTCCTTGATACCGATAATGAAAGTCGCCGTCACAGGGGGGCCCGCTGATAGAGAAATAACTAGACATCCTCGGGCTCGGAAGAGAACCTTGTACATTGCAACGGCTTGTAGAGCAGTTATATGTACCCCGAGAGCAGTCCATAGGTCCACCATCAGACATGAGCTGGAAGTCCTCTGAAGAAAGCATGTCGCACCGTGGATTCACAGCGATGGCAGGAACATTGATATGGATCTCATCTCCTATCGCCGAGACTTGGTCCATTTCTGTCGGCCAAGCGCTAACATTCGAAAGGACAAGATTTTCAAGTATCCCATCTCTCTGAGAGGCTCCAAATCCTGGGGTCTTTGACCACTTTGCGTATTGTGCGGCTTGCTGTACCATCGTGTCTGCAGAGGAATACGTCTCTCCGCCGTAATGATCAAATTTAATATCTCGATCATATTCTGTGTAGGTCTTTTCCAGGTTTTCCATGAGGCTTTGGTCGATTGTGAACTCAAATGTTCTGTTGGTGGTCGCCAATTCGGGATAAAAGAGACCTGCAGCCACGATCTTTACGGTTGGAAAGATCAGAACTATGAGTGAAGACATCGCTACTGCAAACATGGAAGATTTTAAGTTCCATAGAAGCCGAAAGCTTGGCCTGTCCTTGATGTTGAACAGCAAAGGCTGCTTGTCGAGTGGATGATTCCTGAGGGTATAGTATGATGTTGCAGATCGAACAGCAGAATCAATGCCGGAGCATATATAGCTGAGCAATATAAGGGTAGCAGATGTTGAATATTGAGAAAGCGCTGACGACATCTCAGATTCATGGCAGAAGCCATAGTGAACTTTCGACTGCTGTTGGAGAACCGCAAGCGAGATTATTACCGCGAGAAAGGCAGTGACTATTCCTGCTTGTGAGACTGCCCTGAAAACGGCAGGACGCCATCCATGATGGTGTTCAAATTGTGCATCAGTCGACGAGTCCCCAAATTCGGCTTCCGCTTGAATTTCGAGGCGTGTAACTTCAGCTCTCGAATTAGACCTCCACCGTGTTGAGGAGAGCGCTTTTCGAGTCTCATTGTCGGAAATGGTGGAATATCCTGAGACATTTTGCTCCACCTGAGCTTCGGAAGCAGCCAAAATTATAGCCACCGTTGCTATTGGGCCTGGGTTCTCTGTTAGATGAGTTTTGGGCCTCAGAATAGTTGCTTGTAGAATGAAAACTAGTCCAACTACAAGTAGGACAAATTGTAATGAGCGGAGAGAGAAGCCCCGAATAAAGAGCCTGGAGCTTGTTGATGTGATGAAGCCTGGTGTAGGCTCTGATTCGTTTCTTCTAGCAAATGCATTGACAATTTGCGCCAGGGTAGCACTTGAAAAATTCGAGACATCAGATTCGAAAGTTGTAGGGTTGTTGATATACTTTCTTTCGACTGTGGAATTTCTGCCCACGTTGAGAGCTGAAAAGAAGGAATCCACCCCGTAATATTTTGATGGCATATATAATGCATACTCTGTGTCTGCTGTATCCCACGTGGCGTGCCTGGAGTCGGTAGGGTTGAGAAGATATAGCAGAACTGATTCTATTGAGGGATACACGTTGACAGATTTGGTTGGTGAAGTCGGCTCGTGATATATAGTTTCTCCAGTACTGGCATTCGCCCTGATAAATACTTCCTGCGTGGAGAACTTGGCATTGCAGAGGAGTGCTGTCGTGGATAAAGCAGATATCTCGCCTTTCTGAAGACTGTTATAGTCTCCGTGAGACTGAATGTCATGGCATTTTTGTGAGCTATTCAATGCTTCAGGAACAGCAATAAAGGCCAGAATCCGTTGATCATTCAGGGCTCCTGAGCAACTGGTGACATTAAGCCAGGCCTGTGTGCTATGATAGCAGCTCTTGATTTCCCAGTTTATCGGGAGAGAACACCCAGCCAGAGCAATATCTTCCTGGTTGGCTTCAAGAATGAATGGTTTATTGAAGTCGCCGCTCTCCTCTTCCTGTTTATATGCAATGCGCAAATGATGGCACTCCATATTTGCTGAGAAAGCGTCGACATGAGCTTCAATAGAGGCATTTTCCAGGATGAGGTCTTGAGACGCTGGCGCGAATGAATCAAAAGCATAGTTTTCATTCGACCATGGCGCTGAATGCCCTCCTGGTAGACGTTCTACTGCGACAGCTGCATATGGAATGTTCCCAAGATGATCCTTTGGAATCGCGAGAGTTCCATTTGGGTAGACTAATGTTCCATTGCTGAGGTCGAATTGAGATGTCTTTCGTAATATGGCCGGCTCCTTGACCTCCGCGAGCAGCTCCACGTATGTCAAAGAGTTGGTTGCAGCAACTGCAGCCCCGCAGAGAAATCCAGTCAGAAGTCCGAGGAACATAGCCCAGTGCCTCTTCTTGAATGCGGCAAACGCTGCCATGACTTCAATCTGGTGGATGTAATTCAGGAAAAGAGATTCGGACGGTTCGGCCCAGCGGTCGCGGCTAAGGATTGACCAGGGCATGATCATCTTGATGTCCCAAACAATCGACTTCCAGGTGATTCCGAGAGCCACAGCTACAGCTGTTGGTAGATAACGAATTGGAATAACCAGGATGTTGTTATCGCTTCGGATGCCATGGCTCTTCTCCATCGTCTGATAAAGAATCTCGAGCACAACGATCAAAGCGAAACATAGACCAGCCATCGGAATAGCACGGGTCTTGCGAAGCATTGAAGGAACCCACTCCGACTGTGTGCTGCTTTTTCCTGGAGCTTGGCGGTGCCAGGCTGTTTTAAGAATTGTTCGAAAAGATGGGAAAGAGATGCGCATTTTGAGGTTGCAGTATTCTGAGTCTGATAGTGGTAGAATAGATCATTCTTGTGGTGAGTCTATTGCGAGTCGGTCAGCTTGTCGCTTTTTATAAGCATATCAGGCCTCCCGGCCTTGTGCATAAATAGGACACGGTCGAAGCAGAAGCAGGGCACGCTTCAGAAAGACACAGCCCCATAACAGCCTTGCGAACGAAAAAGAAATAAATATAGCAGAGCTACAGTTGTACGAAGGACTGCACCTTTTTCTAGTCGCGCTCCACAAAGACAAAAGAGGGTGGGGGCTGGGAGGGAATATTAGGTTGTGATGCGCTTCTTGTCATACAATCATCGTACACTACAAGAATCGAAGTCAGAGCGAGAGAAACTACTATTACATGCTTATAAAATCTAATAGTGGGATGCACCTACAATCAGCAGCCAACAATTCCTAATAGAAAAGACTTATTAATAGATGCTCGCCTTTTCAGCTCTAATGCGAGACGAGCGAATCTCTGTAAGGCTGAAACGGCCCCAAAAGGTAGTAGTACATTAACGCAATTCATGCTCTCAGCCTCGCTTAGCCACACTCCGCGCTACGACCAAGGAATTGTTGACAGGGTTCAGAGGAAACACAGCCAGGTGCGGGGTCGCCGTAAGCATGCTTGTACAGAGGAGTCTTACACCTAAAGGCTAGCATAAAGAATAATAATGCTATAAAATTATAGGCACATATGCCTCGGCAATTCCCTTTACCGAACGAAACGCATGTACGTAACAGAAGTCATCGTTAAGATGAAAACGTATTGTTCTAAATACTATCTTCACATCACAACATGTCATATCCTCGCGCAGCACCGTGAATACCCTGCCACTCAATCGCCCCCCTCCAGTGCTGACGCCCCCAGTTATCTATGTACTAGTCATCATGTTCTTCCAGTAATGGTTGTTCGTCCCACTGTGACGTGTTCTCGTCTCCACAATTTGTCGGCGAGTCGTGTAAACTTACTATTTATCAGCTGACAAGATATAGTGGAGATATGTCAAAAGCGCCCCTCTTTTTCCGATACGTAAATAAAAGACTCCTATCCACTAGCCAATAGCGGCCTTGATCAGCCTAGGGCTGGTAAATATGATTGGCTGCTAGCTTTATACGATAAGTCTCCGATAGATTCGGGTTACTTCTACACCGATGCCGATAACGGGTCACTTCAACTCTGACTCGTTTATCATTTAAAACTATATATAGAGTACAAGTCGCTTTCGACTTTTTTACCCTGCACTTTCTTTTTTAAACAAAAAAACACAATGGCGTCCAAACAAATCCATTTCATTGCTGTCATGTATCCGGACCCGGAGAAGGTCGACAGGGTACGTTAATCTTTACTCTCGTATTCTTATGTCGACTTACTTTTAGTAGTTGGTCGAGATTATCGAAACTCTTTCGGCATTCGTTCACGATCATGAACCTTTTGTTTGGCAGTATGAGTTTTATAAGTCCACGGAAGATAATCGACCGGTCATAGTCGTCACTGAACGGTAAGAACTCGCTTTTCGATGGTTACTATTGATGACTGACTTCATTGCGATATTTAGGTTCTCCGACCAGGCTCACATGGACATTCACATGCAATCCGAGGCATATCAGAAGTTCAAGCAGGTCCTTGCCGATGAGAAAATATGTGTTCAGGATCACAAGCTTTACTTCCTATCGCAATTTGCTGGTTGGAAGCGAACTTAACAACTCTTTACGTAAAATTCGACCTTGGTCTTTGGATGTAGTGGTGCTATAGTTTCCTCGCCTTTTTTTCCTCCTTAGGAATCTTAGCGCATAGTAGTGCCAAAATAACATTTGATTCTCCTACTTACCGAAACTGACCTACAAAGATATGTATGATTAAATTTTCGATAGGGACCGAGTAGAATTCGCGTTGGTTTCTACGCAGCCCGGGTCGGTTGCTCTGTTCGTGATCAGGTATACCGTGTTCATCACCTGGGAAGCCTTCTCGTAGTGAAACATTTTCTCCACAGTTCCGGACGCATGCGGACACCAGGTTTTGAACAACAAGGCTTTAGTGACCACAGTAAATCCGTTTCAGCGATCATGAAAGCCTTAAGCAGGCCTTGTGCCATGGATTCAAGTACATCACCGTTCAGTGCAATATCCTTCTGCCTAGCTACACTCACCACCGCATTCTGATTTTTATCTAGGCCATCATCCACCCTACAGAGCCTTTTCCTCTGAGATTCTCAAATGCCAAGATCAGAAGTCTCAGCTTGAGAAGAGAAGGTATCACAAGAGGGGGGGCAAGTCACCTTCGCCACGCCATGTCCTCCCACAACACCGTACAACCACCCCACAACCCACCCACCCACCCCCCCTTCCTCCCCCACCACTAACCCCCTCACCAGTCCTCCCCGCCCTCCCGCGCCCCCCTCATCCTCCTCGGCAACATCCTGCCCCAATCCCTCGCCACCCTCTTCGTCCTCGCCCGCATCACCACCAAATCGCTCCTCAGCCACACCTGGGGGCCCGACGACACCACCCTAACACTCTCCTGGCTCAGCTCGCTCGCTTTGACCGTCCTCTCCTGCCTGCAAACCCGCTACGGCGCCGGCCAGCACCTAGCCACCGTGCCCCTCTCGAACGTCAAACCCAGCCTCCAACTGGCCTACGCCACGCTCCTCCTCTACAACCTAACCCTCTGCCTGACCAAAGTCTCCGTCTCCCTCTTCTACCTCCGCGTCTTCGCGGACCGCTGGAACAAGCACCTCAGCCTCGCGGCGCTGGCGTTCGTCGTCGTCTACACGGTGCCGCTGGAGGTCGTGTCGATCGCGCAGTGCCGGCCCGTCGCCGGCGTGTGGGATAGGGCGCTGGTTGCGGAGGGGAAAGCGAAGTGTATTGATACGATACCGGCGTTCTACACGAGCGCGGTGTGTAATATACTGGCGGACGTGTGGCTGATCGGGCACGCGGTGCCGCGCGTGTTGGGGCTGCAGATGGGGAGGCGGCAGAAGGGGCTGCTGTTGTTTTTCTTGTCGCTGGGATGGTTGTATGTTCACCGTGCAGTAGGTGCTTGGGATCGTATATGGCTGACGGGCTAACTGCAGGACCATCATCGCCGCCATCATCCGCGCGGTGCGCATCTCGACCATCCTGCGCTCGGCCGACAAGACGTGGGTGTCGTACGACAGCAGCATCTGGTCGGCCGTCGAGGTCGACGTGGGGCTGATCTGCGCGTCGGCGCCGGCGACGTGGAAGCTGGTGAAGAGGGTGGCGCCACGGTTTGCGGAGGCTATGACGAGCGGTCGTTCATCGTCATCGGGTCGAGGAGGAGGAGGAGGAGCAAGCGGCAGCAACGGCACTGATGACGCATTGAACGATGTTGGAGGAGGAGGACCGCAGTAAGCGCAATGTCTTTTCTTTCCTTCATTTTTTTTTGTTTCGTTGTTGGTTGTGATACACATTCTTATTTGTACACACACACACATACAGGAGTAGCAGCAGCGACGACTCCACCCAAGGACACTCGTCAAAGAACAACGACATGAGCGGCGACCTGCCATAAACCGACGAAAGAGCTATAGGAAAAAAAGAAAAGAAAAAAGCAAAATCCAATGGTATCTCAAATTTCCAGGGGACTCCCGGCAGGCGCCCCCGTCCATCATCGTAGCAGATTTCCCGAGGAAGAAAGAAAGAAAGAAATAAAGAAAAAGAAAACAGAAGAGGAGGAGGAGGAAAAAGAAAAAAAAGCGACAAGAAGATGGCACCATGACTCCCACCCCCCGACCACTACTCCGCCCCTCATTTCGTACAGTCAGTGTTCTGTTTCTTCCCTCCACCACCCATTAAAGAAGTGCAGTCATTTTTTTCAGCCACGTTCACGCACTGAAGCACTACTCATAATCATCCCTCCTCACTCAGCAACATACCCCACCGGAAACGTCAACGACACATGCCTCGGCTGCACAATCGTCGCCCTACCCCCGTCCTCACCCGCACCCGCCGCATCCAACAACCGCGCGGGGTCCTCCTCGCCCTTCTTCACGACCTTGACGAGGCCCGGCTTGATGACCGTGACCTTGCGCGGCTCCTCGTCGAGCCCCAGGTTGACGGGCTCCCAGACGTACGCGAAGGTGGACGGCTGGGCGAAGACGAGGGCGGCGGCGCTGGCCGCCTCCTCGCAGATGGCGACGAGGTCGGCGCGCTGCTCCGGAGCGCCGGGCATGCTCTCCCACGGCGCGAAGGCGCCGCCGATGCGGTCGGCGATGGCACGCGTGGCCTGGGTGCGGGATTGCTTGGCGAGCGGGCTGATCGAGGCGGCCGAGGTGGGTTGGAGGTACGACGTCAGGACGCGCCAGTGGGCGAAGGCTTCGTCGAAGGCTGTGGAAAAGCAAAAAAGTTAATTTTCTCAACGGCGCTGCAGGGGGGAAGGAAATATCCGCAAAGGGGGAATCCAAAAAAAAAAAAAGCAAAACTCACCATCATCCGCATTGTCCTGCCCCTTCAGCGCCTGCGGCAGACTCGTCGCCCACGGCGGGAGCAGCGAATTCCTGCCGCCCTCGTCCATCGTCATCGACTGCTGGATCAGGAACGCGATGCAGTGCTTGATCAGGCTCGTCGGCCGGCAGACCAGCGGGTTGGGCCGGTTGCTCTGCACGAGGTCGATGGGCGACGACGGCAGGTGCGGCGTGCCGACGAGCATCAGGCACGCCTCGTGCGTGGAATCGAGCTCGAGCGATGTCTTGTCGCGGTAGTACTTCTCGACGTACACGTCGATGCTGTCAAAGACGCCCGACACGGCCGCCCCGATGGTCGCGTCGGCGGCCGGCTTCGGCAGGCGCGATTCATAGGCTGGCCGCGGCGGAGCTGCCGGCGCTGCCGGAGTGTTGTTCGTGCCGGATTTCTCGTTCAGCGTGCTCGTCTCGGCGTTGCCGTGCTCGTCGGTCGTGCTGCCCGCGCCGGTCGGCTTGCGCGGGCCGAAGCAGGAGAAGAGGGAGGACATGGCGTCGGGGGGTGGTGTGTCGCTGGGTGGCCTTGGGGGAAGCTCGTGCGGGTTCTGCTTTCGACGACGCGGGAGGACGGGAAAGGGAGGGTCGATGCTCTCGTTTGTAAATCGTGCGGGGTTGAGCTGCTGCTGCGCTCTTCAATGCGACCAGTCTTCGACTCGAGTGAGGGAGAAGCGCATCAAGAAGGAAAAAACGGCTTTAGGGAGCGCACATGTTTTTCAATGCGCCCAGGAGAAAAGGATCGCGCAGCTTTCGCGCGGCGTTCCCGCTTCCCCGCGGCGACACTTGCTTTGCTCTGCTCCCTCTAAAGGGGGGCATGGACCAGCGCCGCCGCTCCCCCGATAAGCTTCTAGCGTACGTCCAGAGTGCAGATTGCGCCCTGAGTTAGACTGGATGCGGCCTGGTGCGCCTGCTACCACCGAAGCCATTTGGATTGTTAGTGGCTCTTCAGCTTATTGGTTCTTAGTCATGGCCTCGCACATCGTCTGGGCCCGGGCTCCTTTGCGGCGGCCGCCCACGACACATCCCCATTTCGTCCGGCACGACTGTTCCATGCCCCCCGGGGGCCAAATGCAAACTGACGTGCAAGCTTGCCCATCAATCCTTCGGGAAGACACTGTTTCGGTGCAGCAAGAGGGCGGTGGGAGCAAAAGCGTAAAGAATGCAAACGTTTTCCGGACCGGGTCGGTGTTGATGCGGTTGGCCGCCACCCAATTTCGGGAGCGCCATGTCGTCGGCGCGCTGTGACCAGCCCGCTTTCTATGTACAGCAACGCGAAATAGACTGTGGGACCATGTTAGGCCGGAAGCTGCTCCGATCGTCGCTTATCTCAGAAGCACGGTACTGCTAAAACCATCAACCTAACCGGGCCTGGCGGGCCAAACTCAGCAGCGAGTATCCGAGTCGTGAGAAGGGGTGCAGCGGAAAAAGTACGTCGGCGCAACGATTAACCGGGGGCAGTAGTCAGGGACAGCTCGTGTTGCTTAAGTGGCTGGCAGTTGGGGGAAGCATCCCGGGGTTTCCTGCACGCCACGCGCCACATCCCGGCAAGCTTCAGCACGCTGAGACGCATTCCTCAATCAACCCCTTCGTCCACTCGGCATGCGAAAAGGCGCGGGCATTTTCGAAGGCATCCCGCGCTCTTTCTAGAATCTCGGCGATGGCTGGCACGTTGACCGGGAGCCCGGTCGCTTGCCGCAGCGCCACAACCCGCCTCAGGAATGAAAGGGCCGCCGTCAGCGTCATGCTCGAGTAGTCCTGGGCAAGTCAGCTAGCGTATCACATCTCCGACAAGCATATTGTCTCACAATGGTGTAACGCAGGCTTTGCGCTAGGGCCTTGGAGTCGAATGCAGTCGACAGCAGAAGGAAGGCTGCATCGACGGCGGCGTTGACGGCGGCTAATGCGAAATGCTCGGCTTCGTGGATAGCGCCCGATAAGGTACCGCCATCAATGACGCGGCCGTTGATGTATCTGTGCATAGTCAGCCGGCGTCGCAGTAAACTGTCCGGTCCAACGCACAGTCGAGCAAAGGCGTAGGGTATCACCAGTCGGTTGCGGTCCTGGGGCTTCGAAAATGTCTGGTAGAGAGGGTCGATGGAGTTGTGTACGCGGTGGAACCAGGTGTCCAGGGCAGCGTTGAGCGCCACCAGCTGAGCCTCCTGCTCTGGAATCGACAGGTCGCCGAGTGCATTGTTCTTTCCTTCGACTGCGCGCGTGAGAGCTGCTCCATTCCCAGAGAGGCTAATCGGAGCTCACCAATTATCTTGAACAGCTCCAGGTACGCCATTATGCGCTGATCGACAGGCCTACTGAATGGCGACAGGGCTAAATGTCGGGCTAGGTCTGTGTATCGTTGGCTGCTCTCAACCAGGTACGGGCGAGAGGTATTCGCCCTGGTTTGAGGTCAGAAAGGGCAACGGACGGGTCGGGCCAATGGAAGACACACATCATCTCATAGGTCAAGATGGAAAGCCATGTCCTCGCCCTCTCGATCTCATCGCGATCCATCGTCTTCGCCTCGTCGGGCAAGCGCAAGGCATCTTCGTGCAGCCCCATTTCGTAGGCGAGCGTAATGACCGTACCCCACAGGCGGTCGGAGCGATACCAGGCGCAGATCAGCATGATGCCCCTCAGGGCCAGCAAGCTCGGCGCCGGGCCGAAGGCCACGGACGAGATGAGGGACCTCGCTTCAGTGAGGCATTTCTGGTGCAGATCGGCCTCGCGAGAGGATGATGCGCGGGATCCAACGGCGCACACTGCGGCCAGAAGGATGGGTTCCTGGCGGATGACGTCGAGGGTCTCCGGAATGCCGTCGAAAATGGCGACCGTGTCGTTGCATTGTGAAAGAAACCTGCAATGGTCAGAGATGGGCAGCCACCGATGCGGAATGAGGCGTTGCTGACGTCTCGAACAGCTGGACGCATTCGTCGTCGGTGATGATTCCTCGCGCAACCAGATCTTGGTGAGATGCAGAGGATTGCCAGGGACCAGCAAGATTACTAAACTCGGGGCGATCAGCGTAGGAGCGATGCGCAGGCTTCGACGTCAATTCGGCTCGCATGCCCTCAACAACGTCGGTGAGGCGGGCAAGCTGGGTCTCCAGCCTCGCAAAACGGTCAGATCTGAGCAAGTCAGCACCATGTGAAGCTTAGCGTAGCTAATTTCTCTCACTGCGCATCATCGGGACCGGTGGCGGCCCGCGTTATCGCTCGCGGCTGCACGAACTGACAGTCTGCTCCGCTGCTCTTGCATCTGTCGCTGCCAATCAGCTGGACGCATCTCAGGCGGGATCTACAACGAACGAACCGCTGGCACGGAATGCTGGCCGGACCCGCGCATTTGACTCTGCAGGCTGGGTCAGCCACAATCCTCCGACCCGGCAGCTGGACGACTGACGCACTTCAAGCGGCGGCACCTCAAGCATGCGGCGAGTGAGCTGTCGTCCCGCTGTCAGCTAGTAATCTCGGAGCCTCCCGACGCGGGAGCAACAGCGGAGTGACAGACCGAGGGTTCGGGTCGGACATGGAGGTGAAGTCGACAAGTCGGGGCGGTGGGGTGAGATTCGCGGTTGATTTTATTCTTCGCCGAACCGGCAACCACTTCTTATCGCTACCTCGCTATCTCTCTTCCCGCCCGCTTCATGGCCTCCTCCCACTCGGCCCGCACCTCGCCGTAGAAGCCGTCGTCCACCAGCACCTCATATCCCACCAGCGCATTCGCCTTGCCCGCCTGCAGCGCCTTCTCGTGCGCGAAGGTCGTCCCCGCCGCCTCCTGGAACTTGGGCGTGTGCGGCGGGCCGGCGGCGTCGATGCGGAACATGGGCTGGATGCCGGGGCAGACGTACGTGACGTTGCCCATGTCGGAGCTACCATTCTGCTCGTGCTTGCGCGCCGCCTCATCAAGCGGCACCATCTCGTCGGGCGACATGCCGAGCCTAGCCAACATGTATTCGCGGTACCGCCCCGCCAGCGCCACATTCGTGACCACATCCTCGTACAGCGCGTCCCAGCACAGCTCGACCTCGCAGCCCGCCGCCGCCGCCGCGCCCGTGAACACCGGCTCCACCCTTTCCCGCAGCCTGTGCAAGCCCGCCGTGTTGCGTGCGCGGATACTAAAAGTACCCTCCGCGTAATCCGGCACCACGTTCGGCGCCTCCCCCGCCTTCAATATCACCCCCTGCACGCTCTCGCCGCCGTCCTTGGTCGTGTTCAGGTGCTGCCGCAGCCGCGCGATGCCCTCGTACGCGCCGACGATGGCGTCGCACGCGTTGCGGCCCTCCCACGGCGCCGCGGCGGCGTGCGCGCTGCGCCCGCGAAAGTACGCGCGGAACTTCCACGACGCCTTGGTCGCGCACACGGGCGTCGAGAAGTCGGGCATCGGGTGCGTCATCAGGCACGCGTGGGCGTCGCGCCACGCGCCCCGCAACGCCATGTAGTACTTGCCGCCGCCCGTCTCCTCGGCCGGCGTGCCGACGACGAGGACGGTGCCGGCGGTTTGCGTGTGGCGCAGGGCCGCCGCCGTGCCGAGGGCGGAGGCGAGCGTGCTGGTGGCGATGAGGTTGTGGCCGCAGGCGTGGCCGATCTTGGGGAGAGCGTCTACGGGAGGTATAGGTTAGCGGGTGAGTGTTCTGCGAGCCGGACTGGGGAGGAGGAGAGAGGGAGGTGTACCGTATTCGGCATTGTATGCTACGGTTCGGCCGCCCTCGCCGACGGTGAAGCGGGCTTCGAAGGCGGTCTCAATGTCGTAGACTGACCGCTTCACTGTCCAGCCTTGGCTCTCGAACCAGGTTGTGAGCAGCTTGAATGCTTTGAATTCTTCGTATTTCGTCTCTGGGTTGTTGTAGATCTATCAATTCTTGTTACTATCCTGTCTGCATTCTTGTAATATGGTGACTGTTTACCTCGAGATTTAAGCGCCGCAGCTCATCGCTTGCTGTGTCAATGGCTTGGCAGATATGGTCGATGACCTCGGGAGAAAGCTTGGACTCGGACATTTTTGGGAAAGATCTCGTGAACAGGTCTGGATAAGACGAAAAAAAGTCTTGGAAGATGCGGGGTAGCCGTCTTGTTATACGCCAGAGTGAATTTGCGATTGTCATATGGGGTTGTAACTGAGTACAGGGACATCGGCCGGGCCGCAGCCGATACCCCTGTCGCCCCGACCCAATAGCCACCTTCCACCCCAGACTTTCCTCGGGATGTCTGCGATAAGGCCGCACCGCCATCGTGCTGTATGAAAAGACCGCTCTCCGGCACGATGTAGGGCAGCCAGAACCACAGTCTTGCATTCTCTTCTTCCCTGTCCGAGCATTAACCTGCTCCACAGATCCCCTCAGTCCCTGTACTGCTGTTCCAGGCGGTCCCCGGCCCTCTCTAGCCATGGAGACCAAGACTGAAAAGCCTTCAGACATGGGTGGCAAACCTCATGCCGACGACATCGGCGTCGCAGTCGTCGCGGAAATCGGCGAGGTCGAACACTTCACCGAGGAAGAGGATCGGGCAGTGCGATGGAAGATCGACCTCCACCTCATGCCTCTGGTCAGCCATCCCATTCCCCCATCAGGCCACGGATATTGCTGACAGGAGAAAAAAACAGCTCATGGTCACCTACCTTATCCAATTCCTCGACAAGTCCTGCATCTCGTACTCGGCGCTGTGGGGAATGCGCCAGGACGTCGGCCTGCACGGCAGCCAGTACTCGTGGCTGACGACCATCTTCTACATCGGCTATCTCATCGCCGAGTTCCCGCTCAACTACCTCTTCCAGAAAGTGCACATCACCAGGGTCTGCGGCGTCATCATGTAAGCCCTCCCCATCCCCATCCGCTGTCGTACATGTTCAGTTTTTTCTTTCTCCAATCGGCTGACGCTACTTCAGTGGTCTCTGGGGCACCGTCCTCCTGTGCATGGCGGCCGCCGACGACTTCGCCGGCTTGATGACGACTCGGTTCTTCCTTGGTGCGTTGGAGGCCGGAGTCAGTCCTTGCTTTGTGCTTCTCACAACCATGTTCTACAAAAGGTCAGTTACTAGCGGGACCCGGTGCGGCGCTGCTTCGCGGCGGCAACAATGACAACGAGAGCTCCTTGCTAACGGAAGATCCAATCCAGATCCGAACAGCCGCTCCGCACGGCGATGTGGTTCTCGATGAACGGCATGGCGCAGATAATCGGCGGGCCCGTCGCCTACGGCATCGGCTACATCGACAACGCGCTGCCGGCCTGGAAAGTGAGTTCTCTTGCACCTCCCCCTCTCTCTCTCCCTCCCAACCATCTAACACACAAATCCCACAGTTCCCCTTCATCATCTTCGGCGCCCTCACCGTCGCCTGGTCCCTCCTCTTCACCCTCCTCGCGGCCTCCAACCCCACCGCAGCCCGCTGGCTCACGCCCCGCGAACGCGCCATCGCCGTCGCGCGCCTCGCCTCCAACAACACCGGCCTCGACACGCGCGTCTACAAGCCGCACCAAGCGCTCGAGGCGCTGACCGACGCCAAGTGCTGGCTGCTGTTCCTCTTCACCATCGCGTCCAACATCCCGAACGGCGGTGTCGTGGCGTTCGGGCCTTTGATCGTCGAGGGGTTCGGGTTCAGCACGCTCGGCACGACGCTGCTGGGCATGCCGAGCGGCGGAGTGCAGATTGTGGCGTTGTGGGTGAGTGGGTGGATTGCCGGGAGGTTTACAGGAAAAAAGGGAGGGGCGAGGGTGGGGTTGATGCTTGGGGGGATAGTGGTGGCGTTGGTGGGGACGGTGTTGATGTATGCGATTCCCGAGGGTGAGGAAGGGGAGGAGGAGGGGGGCAAGGGGAAGTATGGAAGGCTGATTGGGTATTACCTCCTCCCCGGGTTCAGCGCGACGTATGTCCTCAGTCTGGGGTTGATCCAGGCGAATGTGGCGGGGCGGACGAAGAAGGGGACGGTGACGGCGGCGCTGTTCGTCGCGTATTGCGTCGGCAATGTCGTGGGGCCGCAGCTGTTTTTCAGCCACGAGGCGCCACATTATCGGTCGGGCTTCGTGGCCATGATTGTGTGCTTTGCGGTGCAGGCGGGGGTGTTGGTGGTGTATTGGGTGGTGTGCAGAAGGGAAAATCGGAAGGTGAGTTGTTTGAGGGATGGATTTTGGGTGATGTTTGCTGACTTTTTTTACAGCGTGATCTTGCGTACGGCCAACCGGACGGTGATGCGGGCAGGGAGAGTATTGAGCAGGGGTTGTCGGATTTGACTGATGTAAGTTGTGGACGGTGTTGGTGTTTTCTCCGAAGATGCGTGCGTGCTGACTTGTTGCTGCAGAGAGAAAACCCGCACTTCAGATACGCTCTGTGAATGATGCGTCGGCTGGGGAAAATGTGGTTGAGTATCAAGAAAAACGACATGACTTTGGGTGTTGCTCTGATGACTACGGGGTTTTGCATTTGCTATGAAACAGTGACGGTCATTCAAAATTGTTGGATTCTGGGGATGTTTTCTTTCGATTTTGGTTTTTTTGTTAGTTTGAACTTTGGCGTACGCGTAAACTGCATCGATCGCATCGCCTTGAACACGTTATCTGTTCCACTCCTGTTTGTTGCTGTCCTCGTGCGTCCTGCTTCGAAGGTCAGTGCTGCAGCGAGACTACGTGCGAAAGGAAACAACGGTATGCTTTGCGGCGGCTATCGTCGATGTCAAAGCAAGCCAAGAGACCAACTGCTATTTCGCATGCACACGGCAGAAAAATCGAAACCGATCCAGGCGCGATGGATGTGTTCGGGCGTTGACAGATGGATGACGCGAACACGATCGTTTGGTTGGGGAACGAAGACAGTTGGCGCTCGCCTGACCAAGGCGAAGGAGGGAGGCTGGTGTTCGAAACGACGGAGAAACGAGGCGCCATGGTTCTCGAGGGATTCCATCCTCTTTCTGGAAGGACGTCGAAAGAAAGAAGGACAGCGCGGGCGCGTAAGCCGGATCGGAACATGTTGGAATCGGACGGTGCCGGGACAACAGATAGCTTGGCGCGTGTCGGCGCTTTTCCCGGTGCTTAGTGCGCTATCATCATGGGAAGATGCCGCGGTGGAGTCGAGCCGGAAACAGCCATCAGGGTGTTTGATGAAAAGAGCTATCCGATGCTACCTCAACAGCTCAAGTGGAGCGCCTGCTGAATCCGTAGCGTATGACGTTGGCCGGGAGCTCCCCGCAACCGCTTTGGGAAGCCCGCAATTATCGTGAGGGGGCTTCGTGCACTGGCCTTCTGCCCCCGCAGCTTTGTTGTTGGTGGGCCAGTATGGCACGAGAGCAGTCACTAAAAGAGTAGTGATGGTAAATAGTAGAGATAGCTATAGTGTGGAGAGCACGTGGGCGCAGGGTCGTCCGTATTATGGCGGTAGATAGACGTTTGCCAGGTGCAATTGCTGGTTAGAATGACAGGTCCGCTCCAGCCGCCGGCTTGTTGAGTTGCATCTGCGTTCGCTAAGTGCCTTGGAATGGCTGAGCCAACTCATCGTGAGGCCGAGATTAGCGTTGAGTTCAGGAGGGGGCCGCGTTGCAAGCGAGCGTTGGCGCGTGAGCCAGCTTGGATGGCTGGTGGTGAAGGGGAAACTCGGATAATGCGGAAGGCAGGCTCGGGCATGAAGGAGAGTGCAACACCTCAGCGGAGCCTGACTGGGAAGAGTATAGTGCATGGTTCGAGACCGGGAATAGTCATCAGGTCGCGACAAGCTCGGCGGGAGAAGAGCAGCGGCGGCAGCGGCTAGAGCGGACACTGCCGCCGAGCGCTTGCGGAAGAGCAGGGAGTGGGGCGGAGATTATGTGATGCACCGGATCGCGGCTCGTAGCAACAAATGCAATTTGATAACATGCGAAAGCGCCGCAAGCGCTCCGGGTTCTGCGCGACAGCCGCAGAATCTCGGACAATGGTTGATCCGCTCACGTGCAAAGCCAGCGTAGCAGGACTCATTGGTGATAGGCGAGGAGGCTGTGAGGGTGTGTGGGAAACATCTCCGGCGTCTCGCTGCACAACCGACTCCAGCGCAGCGCTGCTACGTGGTCGGTCACATCCTCAACAGTCGACTGCGCCGCAATGCGCCAATGAATCGGAGGTTGGAATGCGATGGGGCAGCCAGTGTTGCGACGACATGACGACCCTGCGTTGCGCTGGCACCTAACCCGCGGCAACACCCAGCTGGAGTCTTCCGAAACGGGCGCAGGTCGCAGACTGACTCATCAGCTGATGGCCGGCTGCTGGAGGCATTATCCTGACACGTCAGAACAGGGAAGCCCAAGTCACGTGCAGCAGGACTCAGCGTTGCGCCAGGACGACATCTTTTGGCGGCGTAGCGCGCGACAGGCTGCCCGAAACAGCCGGCGTCCTATCGATAGCGCCCCGGCCATCTCCCGGAGCTGCTGAAGGTAGCGGTGAAGTTCGCCAACGTCTGTGCTCGGCAGTGGGGAGAAGCGCACTTGCGACTTTCACCGCGTTCTCAAGACGGACATCACGAGTTCTGACAAAGACACCATTCTCTGAAGATAAATCACCATGGCCCGAAGCCCCAAGTTTCCTCTCCAGACTCACTTTACGCCACCATGTTCTCCAAACTTCGTTCGAAACCCCAGTCCACCGGGACCATGCATAAGCCTGCAGTTGCCACCAAGGCCTCCCCTTCCAGACCTGCAGCCACCAAAACAACCTCTTCCAGACCTGCAGAGCGCAAGTCCAGCTTCTCCGAACACCAATGGGACGAGCGCCAGTGGACGAAACCCTTCGCCTCTGCCACCACCCAGGTCATGGCTACCCTGCGTTTCCCTCCCGACCACTACGACGAGCACGAGCTTAGGCGCATAGCCGAAGAGGAGAACCTCTACGGCAAGGCCAAGGAGCACTCCCATTACCACGGCTCCCCCAAGGCCGGCTCGTCCAAGCACCTCTCCGTCTCTTCCAAGTCGACGGCCACTGCTCCTTCTGCGAAGAGCTCCGTCTCGTCTTTCAAGAGCACTGCTCCTTCCACCAAGAGCACCGCCACCCTCTCCTCCAAGGGCTCCGCCTCTTCTCTTTGGTCGGAGCGCCCCAGCTCTTCTTCTTCCAACGCTACCTACGCCACCTCGTGGTCGGTTGACTCCTCGGCTTCGACTGTCATGACGGACCTCAGCGAGGCCGCCTTCGAATGCAACTCCAACCGCCCTGACTCGTGCACGCTTGGTGACTTCGATGTCTACAAGCTGCGCAGCAAGAGGAGCGGCCCCCACCGCCCGGGCTCGACCGTCTCGTCCATGTCCGGCACTTCCTGCGCCGGCACCATCAACTCCCGCCCCATGACGGGCAAGAGCAGCAAATCTGGCGACATCACCTTCCAGGTCGTCGCCGAGGAGGACGAGGCCATCTACCTGCAGCGCACGCCCGTCCCCCGCCCTACCCGTCGCTTCCGCTGAATAATTCCCGGAGAATATTCATGCACTTCCTCCTCCCTCCAAGGCCCGGTGCCTTGTTACGACGACGGCCATCGCCGCAGCCGACGCGACCCCGGTTTGGAGTTAATTTAGAGACGCAAGATCTCATCTCCTTTACTGTCGTCGGCAATCGGAGTCGGTAATTCGGCAAATTCAGCTCGATGAGACCCGATGCGGATGAACAAGGCCTCGACAGAGTGTCTACGACGTTACGACTATCACGACCAGTTCGATCCAGGTGCCTGGATTCCTCCAGCGCGAAAACTACGAAACGTCTCCAGGAAAGACAGGCGTAACAGCCGTCTTCCACCACTCGCTACAGCGACCGATTGATGTGCAACGTCTCGGTCCTCATGACAATTTCCATGATCTCGACAGCTATGATACCACTTTTGGACATCCTCAGATTACTTTTCAGGAATTTTTGGATTTCCTATCTACGGCCAAGCTCCATATTTCTTTTGGTTCAGCAGAACTAGTTCTACAGAATGAAACCTCATCTGCATCTCCTCTCTTTGTGAGACGCACACTGCTCTGTGCAGCCTCTAACCATCTCTGCAACTTACAGCATCCGTCTTCTCTGCAATTCCAGATTGCTCACCTCAGGCCTCAAACTGCAGATCATCGTCCAGGGGAAACGTGAGTCACAGGGTCTTTTGGAAACACTGTCGGATCGCCTCCGATCAAACAGACACACGGCTCCAGGGACACTTCCACATTCAGTTCGGCACATGGCAGTTTCGTCTCTAGCTTGATGCGTTGTCCGTCGGCTCCTTACCTGATACAGAAAAGCAAGCGAAACGCTCGGGGCAAGTGTTGGCACACGCAGTCGGAGCATTTCGGGGATTGTGTCCACATGGCGGCGCGTACACGACGGGAACCCGAGCGCCGCCTGCCAATCAGGGACGCTGCACATGGACGCGCCCACGAGACGTGCAACCCGGGGATTGTTCAAACGTCGCGGATTTTTCCAGTGTGCTTCGCGACGCCTTCGTCGCATTCGTCGACGCTTCGATTTTGTTTCGGTTCGGGCCGATGGGGAAAGCAAAGCGCTGCCTCGAATCAGGGAAGACCCCTCGACGAGGAAACGTGTTCCTGCAGCACACTACCCTCGGCCCCCATGCCGGAGAGAGACGCTTCGGCGCTAATGCAGCATCATCTGAGAATGGGTGTGAAGGGACAAAGATCTCACGTCTGGAAGAGGTGACATCACCCCGACCACTGATGATGACTTGTTGTCTCCGAGATCCCACGTCGCACGAGATCTGGCACGCGCTGCTGCATTATCGCCTTTTGCTTTTTTCGACGTCGCTGCACATACCGCTCTTTGTCCCCCTGACTTTCTTCACCACTGCTCCCCTGGTGGCGAAGAGTCACATCAGCACAGGGACGAAGAACGGACGGACCCTTCACGGATCTTCGCACGCGCGTCCCCCGCGGGTCTCTTCCGCTTGAAACGCGCCCCACTCTCGTCTCAACTTATTGGTACGTTTCCTTTTCTGCTGCTACTTCCCACGATGCACAGCTGCCCAACCGCTCGCCGAAAAACAAAAATAAACCTACTAACACTTCTCTCGCTGCGCAGTTGCGGTGTGCCTGCCCCTTTTCGACCAACCGCGTCGACACACCTCAACACCGACCTTCTCTCCGCTGATTACGACACCACCTCGACGGCTTGGTTTCACGCTTTCACCGCTTTACATCTCGGCGTCACTTCGTGCCCAAACGCTCGCTCTTCCGCAGAGAAAAAGAAAAAACAATCATCGCACACCACGCCGAGCGCCAAAGGGACGATCAACATTCACCGGAGAAGGACACGTCTTCGACCGGTCAACTTCCTGCAGTGCTGCGCCTCCCATCCAACAACCATCCGCGCCAACCGTCCGCAGCGCTTCTGCATGAATCCTCTGCCCAGTAAGTCAGTCATCCTCCCCGCCCAGCGCTTACAGAACATCTGCAGCAACGCAGCACAGCACAGAGACTTGACCGGTCGCCACCACCTGGCTCGAGCTGGGCTGAATTTTTCGTGATGACCCGCCGCACGCGCGCCCTGTCTGCATCTTCAGCCTTTGCCTCATTGTGAAACACGTGTCAAGAAGAAGTATTTTATGGGTGCTTTATTCTTTTTTTTTCTCTCTTTCGCGATTCGTCTATAGAGGTGCGGTGTGCATGACTTCGAGCTTTCTATCGCGGAGTTTTCTCCGAAGGGTGATGATGTCAATCATGTGATCTGCGCGTCGCTGATGGCCCCGACGAGGCTTGTCTAATGCTTTTGACGGCTTTGGAGGGGCCCTGCGGGCGCGTGGGTGTGCGTTGTATGCAACAGAGGTGATGAGCTATGATTTTGACTGGCCTCAAGCATGTAGTCTTGGCTCCAGCTTGACCCTCCGGAGTCGGCGGATGATGCGGCTTGTAATCTTCAAGATTACAGTACTCCCACTCTTTTGTTTTGTCAGTGCACAAGCTCGACATGAATCATGGAACGGGTTACTCATGCCTTGTGATGAGAGGGTAGCTGAACGTTGGCGATTGGAACGAAAAACTAAGTAGATACAAATAAAGATACACATCAGCGGGTACTGCTATCTTTCGCCAAACCCCAACCAATAGAACTCCAGCAATGAACATCTCCCCACCCGTTGCAGCCTTTCGCCCTTCTATTCACAAGACCATCTCAACGTCATCAACACGAGATCTCTCTCTCTCTCTCCTAACCCCTCACAGCCCAGCTCCTCCTCGTTCACACACTCCGGCGCCAGCCGCATTTCCGTACAATGCCTCCATACATACCAGCGGCAGACCCGGCGTGCTCGCGGGGATGTATCACTGATTACAAGTTCGATGCAGACATGCAGCTTGCTGATTATGCTGCCGCGCAACTGCTACTGCTGCTGGTGCCGGGGTGGTGATGAATGCGGCCCATACTCCGTCGTAGAGGTAGAGAAACGCCGTGCGTGCTTGGGTAGGACTTTTGCCTGCACACTACTACGCTTGGGTTTCGAACATTCCGCGAAGTCCAACACGCAGCCGAAGTCGAAGGAGGGAGGAAACGACTCAGCATCGTGTCGATTTTGACAATGAACCCGCATATATAAACCTTGTTGATCTTCATCGCTTCCCAGCACGTTCTCTATTTTATTATTTGTTGTTGTTTTCCTCTTGCTAAAAATGAGGTACGAAGCTTGCCCACCGCACCGTCTTGTACGCCGTGACCGGAAGCAGCCGCAAGCCGATGAAGCACTCGATCAGCACAATGGCGCGCGTAGCGCAGTATGCGGTGACAAGCACCGCAACGGGCGCAATCGCCTTCAGCGGCACAGCGAACTGCGGGTCGCGCCCTTCCGAGAGGTTGCGCAGTCTCGCAGCAGTGGCATGGCAGCGCTCGTGCATGCTGCCAGGAGCGCGCTTATCCACGCTCCGCTCCAGCGCGTGCTTGCACCGTACGACGGACGGAAACTTCCCGTACACCCACGGCAGGACGTCGAACGCGAAGAGGTCGACGGCCCAGTAGACGAAGACGCAGGCGACGGAGATGGCGCTCGAGACGTGCCAGAGGACGCGCTCGGCCGGCGTCGGGAAGAAGAAGTTCCAGCCGGCGAGATGGATGGCCGTGAAGGCGAGCTGGAAGGCGAAGAGGAGCAGGTTGAGCCGGCCCGAGAGAGGGAGGAAATGGTCCTCTGCGATCTTGACGGCCGGCCGCGCTTTGGCGCGCCAGAAGTGGATGTGCATGCGCCGGAAAACGTCCATCCCGTACGACCAGTATATGTACCATGACGAGGGCGCCGCTTCGATGAAGTCGAGTGGCGTTCGTCTGTACGGCTCGCCGGAATATTCCCCGGCCACGATGGCGTCGTCGAGAATGAGGCGCAGCGGCTTTTTTGGTTTGAGCGGGACTGCTGTCTTGACGTCGAGGGGCTTGTGCATCCAGGCTGTGTAGGTGGCGAGCGTGCAAAAAATAGTGGCAAGCGTGGTGAGCTCGAGTGTGGTTATAGCAAGGCCCTGTGCCATCCGCCCCGCTGTGTTCAGGAAGAACCAAAATATTTGACAGCAGGTGATGAGCCTAGTTACTCCATCGCCTTTGTTCCGGTCGGCAATGACTTTTGGCTGCACCAGAGCATCATCAACCCCTACGTAACCCTTGTGAACCAGGTAGTAAACTTGCTTGGCTGTGAGGGGAAACCGTGCCATTTCTTCAGGGTCGTCGAACACGTAGCCTCCCATGTCTGCAAAAAATGCGTGCTTCATGGTCCAGTTGTCGAGTCCAGAACTTTGAAATTGCTTTACCGAGTTGTGTGCGGATAGCCATTGACCAAGAGCAAGTTGAAAGAGGAATTCAGGTCCAATGAAAACAAGACCAGTCATGAGAAGCTTCTGCCTCACCCACATCCGATCAGTGAAGAAGTCTGGCGGCAAGTTGAGACAGAGAACAGTCCAGCTACAAAGAAACATGGTTACGACGCTGGTCCATATAATGTCAAGTGTGCCCCTTCCATCCGGTCCTGGGGTCCATCCGGAGATTTCGACTCCACTGCCTGTGGAATTGGGCATAGCCTTGATCGTGTGGGTTAAAGGGAAGTGGAACGGGCTATTTATTTGTAAATATTGTGGTCATTCAAAAGAGTATCCCGAAAAGAGATGGAAAAGGGAGAGATCATACTATTCACACCTGGGATGATTTTGGACTTTTGGTTTAAAGAGCAGTTAAGTACCAGTAATCGCTACACCGCATCACGGTGCAAGCTGCAGCCTAAAAATATCTTGAACCATGGCGTAGCCGCCGTACAGGGGCGATGAGACCCGAGCATCGCTTGGCTTACACTTGATTGGTCTGGTTGGGATTCGAGCGGGGAAAGCTTGCCCCACTTTCCGCGGCGCGTAGGTAGTCGAGACGCATCAGAACACCATGGTGTATCTAGACACATAGTATTCATAGAAATTCATTTCCCGAAAGAATAAAAGGTAGGGTCAAGATGGAATTCAGTGTTGTAGGACATTGTTCCGACAGGATAGTGATTTACACCGCATCCTCGATCTTTCGATTTTCTTGGACCCCAGGGTCCAAGCCTTGCTTTGCTGCCTGGCACAGCCTTTGCCAGGGCTCCCACTTGGCAAGACAGGACAAGACAAGCCGGGGCCCCCCAGTCTTAAACAAGACAAGACGCCGTCCACGGGCGTCTTAAACAAGACGGTTTTGTCTTATCTTATCAGCTGGGAAAATACGCCGCCCTGAGCTACTGGTGGGGGCAGTCAAAGCAGGTAAAGCTCGAAGGAGTTGACCCGCTATCAAAGTTTGCGCCGGGAGTCAGTGTGTCGACACTTCCTAAAACCATTCAGGATGCCATAAGTGTCACTCGAAGGCTGGTATTCGACTATCTTTGGGTTGATGCTCTTTGCATCATCCAAGATAGCAAGGAAGACCTGAATCATGACAAGGCTCGAATGAACCTTGTATAAAGTGATTCCACGGTCACGCTGTTTGTCACCAATGGGGTGTCGGCAGATGATGGAATCTTCTCCCGCGGTTACTACCCTGCCGAATGCTCCATATACGTACCACTATTTCCACGGCATCCGGATGAAGAGAAGATTATGGACACGTTCAATGTCCACGCACAGGCGTTCAATACGGAAGAACGTTACGGTCTCGCGCTTCCTTGGAGTTTACGTGGCTGGACAATGCAGCAGTATATATCAGCTCCACTACACCGACTTTCAGATGGGTTGGTTCTGCTTGACACACGCCAAGAAGGGAAATGTCAATTGGGTCGACCAGGAAATCAAGCGGAATCGCATATTTGATGTGATGGCCTTGACCACAAAGCTGAACGACAGTTTCGAGCACGTTTCGCACTTCTGGCGTGCATTCATACGGTCTGACGTTCTGGACTCGTTGGTGATGTCACGCAAGCAACTCCAGGAATCCATCACATACTAGTTCTACGCGATACCGAATGAACTGAGCAATAGATGCTTTACTTACGAATCCGATAAGCTGGAAGCAGTGGCAAGTATTGCAAAGACCACCGAGCTGAAGTTGAGATTCGCGCAAATAGGAGAGGGTAAAGTATGGAACGGATCTGCACATCCTCCCGGATATTGGGCAGGCTTGTGGGATGACGACTGGGCATATGGCTCTTTCTGGAATCAGGAGTCAGAACGGTCTGGGCACAGAAATTGGAGGCAATGGTTGAGAAGACCCGAAGGGGACCCGTGCATTCCGCCCTGGAGCTGGGCTATCGCCCTCTACGGTCGTCACCAAAGTTTTCCAACTTACATGCGATCCACACCGGTACGCCACATCGGGAACGTCATCACGCCAGGCCTGCCCAACGACCAGGAGAGATTCATACCAACCAAGCCATTCCCACTCCGGCAAACAGGTCCGCTGCTACAGCCTTCTGAGGACCGGAGAACGTCTCGGTTCTTGTCCGATGAGTCATATAATGTTTTCACGAGATTTGAGGCTCGAGTTCGGGGGTTGTGCGGCATATCCCGTGACTAGTGGTCATTCTTGAAAGAGGAATCGGAAAGCGATTGTCTGGAGAGGTGGCGATCAGAAAGTGACTGGGTGGAGCGGTGGCGATCACACAGGCTACAACGCAGTGATGAGAAGCCATGGGTTATTTTTCAGGTGCTCTCGTAGGATTTTGCACTTTTGTGCTGGGAGGAGGCTTTACATCGTATACTAGAGCGTGTACAAAGACCACAAGGCCCTGGAGCCGGTTCAGTGATCTCTGAAACGCCAGAGCGCTATCGCCGCGTTGCCTCACTATCGCAGAGGGGTTTTCTCCCGCTTGAGAATTCGCAAGATATTTCAAGGGATTTGGTCGAGAGAGAAGATAACTTTGCGCACACAAACGCTAGCTTTACGGATTTGTATAGGTCTGAGCCAACAGCACGCGAATGCAGGATCCCGAGCCTGCTAGAGTTGACTCGACGGGACCCCTGGCCGGAGATGGAGATTGAACTAGTGTAGCCTCACCTTAATATCAGGGGACGACTAATGATACCATAAATGCGTTATGAGCAGATCAAAAATCTGATGTGTTGTACATACTATGAGTAGTTCTATGGGCCAGTTAGTATCACATATCCGTTATAATTGCAGGCCAATATTGAAAGCAGCATATCATGCACAGAAATCGTGAGATATTAACCATGTGTAAAGTGGTGTATGATTGGTATGGAAAAGTGGTGAGTGAAAAGCTCGATGCTGCTCTGACCAAATGACTTGATAAGTGACGAAAACTGCGCATAAGTTCCAAAGTTCTTTTGAGTAAACATAACTCCTAATTTTGTTTTAGATCTCCCGTTATTTTTCATAGGTCCGTTAGTTTTCATTACATCAGAGATTACATCGGTTTATCATGGCATCGGTTCTATTTTCGACACATGAAACGGAATGAAGACGTTGATAAAATGATACAACTACAATCTACGGATGATTTGAACACGTCGTTTCGTTTTTGCCAGGCCGGCCATACAGACTACTCTTAAGAGCACCTCTCGGGCACCGCCGATGCTTTTTCTACTAGCTGGCGGCTTGTCGCGCGTAGCTTGCTGGATCCCTGACACTCCTTCCCGGCTAAACCATTAGATCCCATCGGCACGAGTCGTGACGCCTAGCTTCCCGCGACATCCGGACCATCAGAACTTTAAATTAAGCACAGTATATATTGCACGCCATCCAACCTAAGCATTATTCGTCTCATCTCAAACCCCACATCCCTCAATCCTCTCTCTCTCTCTGCCCCACCCACACCATGGCGCCCACCAACCAACAACCCAAGCCAATCCCGCTCATCTACCGGGCCTTCTTCACCGTCCTGGAGCCCATCTTCGCGCTCAACGGCGCCTACATCTACGTCGCGGAGCCCACCAAAACGCTCCAAATCATCACGCCGCCGCCGCTGCACGCGCAGACGCTGCACCAGACGCCCATCGAGACGATGCTGCTGTGGCAGGTGGCGTCGCTGTACGTGCTGTTCGCCTTCGTCGAGCTGGTCGTGCTGCGCTACGTCGGCACGCAGCGCAAGGACGTCTGGCGCCTCGTCTTCGCCGGCATCATCGTTTCGTCCGACATCGGCCACCTGTGGGCACTCAAGGGCATCGCCGACGCCGCCGGCCAGCCAGAGGTGTTTTATGACCCCCGCGCCTGGACGCGCTGGCAGGATTGGGGGAACCAGGGGTTGACGTGGTTTGGGTTTCTGCTGCGGATTGCGTTTGTTGCGGGGGTGGGGCTTTGATGCTACGGTGCGGTTTGGCGTGATTGGAAATGGTTGCTTAGCTTTGTTCCAGTTCCTCTCAAGAGCTGTGTTGAGCGGGACTAAGATGGCCAAGGAAAGCCGGAATAGACTAGAATTGACGCGCGCGTTGTAGGAATCGACTACGATATCTTCAAACTCCCATCAGCTGTGCTGCGTAGGAATTATAGAGCAATGAGTGCGGTCTTGTAAAGAATGTTATTGCCTTTCTATTTGAATTTTTACTAATATTGATTGTAAGATCTGATTTTGCATCGTAAGGACATTATTCCTGAGATGCCTTCCTCCAAAGTCTACGTAAAACTAATAGTACGCACTAGATTAGAACTGCTGTTACAACATATCCATTGAATATAAGCAACAGGCTGCATATTCTCACCCGTATTAAGTCGGAGCCGTAAGGAAATCCGTTGTTGTGTCTTCTCAAGCGTAAATATTATATGGTAGATCTGAAAGGCTTTTCTTCTAAAAGTAGACGTCCCAGGCCTCGCGCCGTATAACTTTTCACCTTTAAACTCCCGCCCACAAGTTTCTTATTTGCTTTCCTGCTGGAGCCCAGACCCTGTATCTCAACTCCGGCGGAGAAACCACAGACTCCAGAGCTCATAATGCGCAGAATCACAATCTGATAAGCAAACCCTTATGCATACTTTGCCAATGGGCAACGGCTCAGTCGGCTTGCCCGGGTTTCCCAGGGTCGGTAACAAGATTGCTACCAACCCTCTGATGCCTCCCGATCGGATTCAGCTGGACAAAATCAGAGTTGGATGACAAGGCCGGCCCAAACCTGAATTCACTACTGAGAGTGTCAAGCGGCAGTATTTCCCTTTTCCTCTGACTGGCCGGAGCTTTCAATCTCCTTGAGACGACGTTGCAGCTGAAGGAGAGTGAGGTAGTTGATCTTCAGAGTATCGCGGATCCAGAATTGTTGCATCTCGGTTGCGGCAATGCCTGCAAATTCGGGGTCGGTTAGGGCGTCTTGCATCTTCGTGCTGATACCCATCCTCGTCATTGTCTCGCGACCGGGCGAAGTTTCCGAAGGATCGTAGGACCGGACGTGACTGTACGCGTAGTCGAGTAACTCGTCGGGGTTGGTGTCGGGATCGGGGCGGGCGGACCACTTGGCGAAGATTTCTTGGGCGGCTTGCGGGGTGAAGCCGATAAACTCCAGAGCGGCTACGCTTTGCGCATCGCGCGGTATATTCTGGAACCACGGCGGCATTATGGTGGGTGGTGAGTCTTATGATGGCCAATAATCGTGTTGCAGGTTGAAGAAAGACAGGATGACCTGCGTCTTATATGGGAAGCTAGAAAAAATGCTTTGCAAGGTGACTCATTGTGTTCGGTGATGGATAAAAGTCGGAGATGTTCTCCGCCAAAAGTGTAATTAGAAGATTGGGTTCGGGGTCCAACCTAGCTTACCGTTTGTGTTTTGTCTTACGATGTTGGGATCCGTTGGCTTAGATCCTATTTAATTCTGAAAATAATCCATACACATTTATAGTAGCAAAGAATCTATATAAAACACAATAACGGCCAACCTTGTTTTCCAAGTCTTCAAGCACTAAAGAGGGTGAAAAGTTGCATGGAGATTTTCCTTTGGCGTATATGAAAAGAGGGTGAAAACGATGGGATTACGTCATTCTTTAAGCCCAGGTTCTGTTGTGACATTGAGAGCGAAAGTCGAAGCTATCTAAGGAGTGTAGTTTATATAAATGTAGGAGAGTTTGTGCAATCTGGTGTGCTTAGAGAGCAGGCTGTGCTCAGTGGAACGAGCCCACAGTCATACCAGCATCCAGACTACGTACAACCACTTAAGCCCTTGAAGGTATCTTCTACCACATACTTGCACTTAGCCGTCATACTACCATTATCCGAACTCTTCAGATCCATTCCCTCAAACACGATTCCGTCGCATGGTAAATCTTCACTACAGCTGAGAGAAGCAACATTGTTACTCGAACTCAACACCCCAGTGAAATTCACAAAAGACACGTTGCGAACCTGCATCTTGCTCGTTCCCGAGTAGGATCCGTTGTCTCCACTGTTCTGGTCGATCAGAGGCGCCACCGAAGCGCCGTCGATGTCGAAGTTTGAGAAAACGACGTTGGTCACGTTGCCCCAACCGCCTCCTCGCGGCTCACCCGCACTCTCATAACTGTCCTGCGGAACGAGAGCCCCCATCCAGGTCTTGATGTAAGCGGTGAAGCGAGCTCTGACGTTGGAAGAGACGATCTGCCCTCGAATGTCAATACAAGACCTCAGAAGTTCGCGATTTGTGTCCTGACCTTGACTGTATCGATGATGACGTTGTCAACACTGCTGTCTTCCTCATACTGCCCGACACTGCCGATGGCTACCCCGTTACCACCATTGCAAGTCACATTCTGGATGGTTACATCGTATGAGCGAGGCTTGATGGCGATGCAGTCATCGCCGCCTTGATATACGAAGTTCGTCAGAGTTACGTTGCGAACGTCCATAGTATCTGAAGCGACTCATTGTCAATGGACCCATGTTTCTCTGAGGCTATGGAAAGTCGAAATATGTCTACGTACCAAAGCCGTCTGTATTCTGGACCCAGTTGTATCCAGATGGAGCTTCTGAGGAGGTAGCGTTGCACACGATGTTTCTGAATGTCAGGTCCGTTCCGTTCATGATGTTGAGGGCCCAGAGAGGGGATTGATTGATGTAAAAGTCCTCGACTCTCACGTCGCTGACGTTCCAGAGAACAAACGGCTGTGTACTGATGATGAGTTCCATGTTCAACAAATAACTTTCTCCTGGACCTTACCATCGGACGACCTTCCTGGGTTTCACCAGCTTCGGCGGAGTACCATGTATCTCCATTTCCATTGACGCCGCCGGTTCCATACCCTTTGATTCGAATACCACTCCCAGAAAAGACTATTCCAGCGCGGTGGTTCTGGAAGGCGATGGGATATGAATTGTTACGCCAGTAAGATAGATTATCTGACATCTACGCCAGGAAGTCAGTCAGCCGCTGGTGAAATGATCCCAAAAGTCAACACATACCAGCCACTCTCCCCTCCACTCAATCTGCACGTCAGTTGCTGAGATGTGAACCCTCTCTGATATATTGAACTGTTCATCTTCGGGGAATATTATGTTCCCGGAGTTTCCGCAAGTGTCAAAGGCCTCCATGATGCTTGGCACGTCATTTCCCCCATCTTCCGAAGCGGTCACAGTGCATTGAGGACGACCCTCAAAGTCAGAGACTGCAACCTGGCTGGCAAAAATGGTTGCTGAAAATGATATCAAGAGGTAAAGTAGGAACGAAATGGCGAAAGACATGTTGGAAAGTGGTATGGATCGATGTGCGCGCTCGGCTTCGCAGCCTATTGACTGGCTATTTATCTTCATCATGGAGACTATTCAGCTTCGCAACTCCCCCCAACAATCTGCAGTGTTTACACTCATTTTGGTTATTTTTCCCTCTGTTCGAAAAGATCTACAGTGGCAATGTGGCGCGGAGAGATAATGAAATTCGCCCGTTTAATGCACAGATTGATCCACAAATAAGGTCAATGTTCAGATACATCCATGAGTCCGTGAAGGTTGAATTAGTATTTCATGAGGCAGCTTTCAGCTCTGGAAGGCCTAGTAGGTCTGGTCGGTATAAAGCTAGACCGAGCATGGATCATTTGGGTCTACTGTACTACGTGATGTCATCACTGAACGAATGATTTACGAGATCAGATCAGGAAAAGCATATCCTACCGTGACTGGTGGAAGCAAAACACCATCTGCGAGTTGGAGATTTAAAACGATTGGATTTACGTTAACGTGTGTTACCACCTGCCTAATATAGAATCAATTGAGCGCCGCGGCTACCTGATCCATATCTGTAATGGATATTGATGCTTGTTCCTTTTGGATATCTGATTCAGATATGTTACTATGGTACGTTACGCTTTGCTAATTTTCTACGCTGCTAGCTTTTATTCTTGTTGAAGATGCATTTTTCATTGGCGTAGTTTTGTCGTCATTACAACATTTCTCGACTTTCTATAGCTTGCATCTCCTCTAAGCAGTGCGAATTACTTAAGAAATAATTTATTACTGGTAGTACATGTACCCGTTGGCCCGAGTCTATAAATTGCGGGGAGATCGACAAGTGATGCGGGAGAATCCGCTGCATGTAAATATTGGCACCTCGCATGCTCGGCCCAATGTCTGCCGACTGATTTTTGCACCCCGTAACCAAACGTCAAATTGTATGAATGCGAAACGTTAGTCTTTCGTATAGTAGAACTGCAACATTGGACTTCTAGTATTTTGTCTTTAAAGAACTGTATTATAATAAGGACAGTACTCGTATTTGCTAGTTTACGCTTTTCTTTTTTATGTTCCAGTTTTGTTGTCCTTGGATATACATAGGGTTGGCGATGATGGTGAAGATGACTTTTTCGTTTTGATCTTGAAGTAACGGGACATATTTGGATGCAGCGAAAGCAGGCCTCAGCCAATCCTCCCTTAAAGATGACACAAAAACTGGCTTTCTGCTGAAGTGGTACCACGTGTTTTTACCTGGATGTGATTATGTATGGCTCAGTCGGGGTGGCAGGAATGTAGTGGCCATTGGCGGCATCGCACAGAAACTTCTTATAACTCAACAGGAAAGTATGGAGCTGATGAACTATAGACAACAGTTAGATTAACCATGATGGATATCGGAATTAAGACTTGTTGGCCAATGTTGACTAAACCGTATGGCTATGCGGTCTTCTCTGAGTCTGGACGTAAATGTGGTTATTAATTATACTTTCGCGTCCGGACGATAGCTTCACCTACCCATGTATGTTCTCTTTCATTGGGGAGAAGGAAAAAAGAGCTGAGGCATACTTGCGCTATGTCCCAGAGCCCTGCTATCCTTCACGCTAGCCATCGGCTGCAGTACCCCTTTGTAGTGGATGCTGTGGTCAAAAGAGAAAACCACCGGTGACGAAATAACAACGAAAGCTTTCGTTGGCTAGTCCTGATGATTCGACCCCCGATGCCCGTGCTTGAAAAGTTTGGAATTAACGATTCTCCTGGCTACGTTGAAGGGGCTTGCAGAATTGACCAAAGGTAATGTCCGGCGTGATGACACGCCCAAGGGCCACAGCGCGGCAGTTGCCAGTTCGCGTCATTGAAGTGATTGTTACAGAAAATAAGAGCAATGTGCTTTTAAAGCAATGGCAACATGAGCAAGATCGGATTCAGTCCGGCAGAATATCAACAAATGCCAAGAGTCCTCGGGCCTGACAAGAAGCTCGTTTGGCAATGTTTGGATAGGTAGCCGCCTCTAAACTCACGGTACAGTAAATCACTTGGCCGTATTCGCTCTCGAGTAGCAGTGGTTCGTCCATTACTCAATACCGCCTTACACTTCCCTCCGAAGGAGCAATTCTTCGGATTTATCACGAGTCATACAAGCCGCTCGGACTCGATTTCCTCTTGGGTCACCCCACAGTCTCTAGACGGTCGGCAGCCAGACCGGCCACCTGGGGAGTACAGTCAGACCATGTCGTGCAGAAGCAGTGCGTGCTCTCCTAAACCTACTCCATGCGGCTGTTCTCTCAAGACATGGCGCGCCAATGACGACGCCGAGAAACAAAGCGGCATATCGTATAAGTCGCGCAAGCCGGCGAAAGAACTGCCGAGGCCGCAGCCAAGTGCCGACGTCGGAGTGTTTATGGCAACAAGTGGCTCCAGTTTCCATATCGGGCGCGTGACGCGGGTTCTACCGATTGACGACTGACGCACTCCGCGCTCGCTATCCCGATTGCGGGGTGCAGCCGTTCCGCAACAGGAAAACTGCGGGGAAACCGCGGCCGTAGATCCTCCGCATGCTGAACCCTGCTCACACATTTTTTACGTGATTTTCAGGCTTCCCATTCTGTCTTCCGCTTCGGCAATATGGCGTCGGAGCTGGGCATGGAAAGCTCGAGCTCCATGTGGAGTCTCGGCCGCTTTTCGTAGCCGGTGACTGGCCGTGTATATAAGGACCGCCATTGCGGCTTGAGGAGTTTCGATTTCCAGCCGCAAAAACGTCACCATGGCCGCCACTCTCCGGGTGCTTTTTGCCCTGGTCGCATCCCTCCTATTCTGGACCACCGCGTCCGCCATCGACTCAGGCCGCTGCGAGAATGCCCGCTACGAATCTAAGCCCCGGCTGTTTGTCCTGTCGGACATCAGCAACGAGCCCGACGACCAGATGAGCTTGGTCCGCCTCCTGACCCACGCCAACGAGCTCCAGATCGAAGGCTTCGCTGCAGTCACCTCGGTGTGGAAGAACGACTCCCTCGACCTGGACACCATCTTCCAAGTCATCGGCGGCTACGCGAACGTCACGGACAACCTCAACAGCAACGTGCCTGAGGCCGGCGCTTACCCCTCTGCGGAAGAGGTTGCGTCCCGCATCTACGCTGGACACCCTGTCTATGGCCTCGCCGCGCTCGAGCTGGAGCCCAGCAATGCGTCTCTTGCCCTCGTCAACGCTACCGATGCTTCTGAAGACCCGCTCTGGGTCAGCTGCTGGGGAGGCACGAACGTCCTGGCCGAGGCCCTGAATTACGTGCAAAAATCAAGGACTGCGGAGGAGACTGCAGCCTTCGTCAAGAAGCTCCGCGTGTACACCATTTCCGACCAAGACAACGCCGGCCCGTGGATCCGAGCAAACTTCCCCACGCTCTTCTACATCGTCTCCATCCACGCCTTCGGCGAGTACAACCAGGCAACATGGCTTGTAAGCAATCATCCCCCCAAAAAAGGACATACTCAACCACTAATCCAAAAAACGCAGGGCATCTCCTCCGACGTCGACACCGGCGGCCCCGACAAAGCCATCGTCTCCAACGACTGGCTCGACGAGCACGTCCGCATCGGCCCGCTGGGCGCCTACTACCCGGACATCGCCTACATCATGGAAGGCGACACGCCCGCGTACCTCGGGCTCCTGCCAAACGGGCTCAACGCGCCCGAGCACCCCGAATATGGCGGCTGGGGCGGTCGGTACAAGCCCGTCGATGCGTCCGGCCTGACCGGCCTCTACGGCAACGTCGCCGACCTGGCTGAGGGCCAGGACGGCAACGCGTGGTTCAGCGCGCAGGCGTCCATCTGGCGGTGGCGCAGCGCGTTCCAGTACGACTTGGCGGCGCGCATGCAGTGGTCGATTAATGCGACGGATGCGAACCACCACCCTGTTGCTGTTGTGAACGATACGTGTGGTGGTGGGGATGCGCTGGAGATCGAGTATCGGTTTGGCGAGTCGGTGGTGCTGGATGCGTCGGCGTCGTGGGATCCGGATGGAGATGCGCTCGAGTTCAATTGGTGGCACTACCGTGAAGCTGCGCAGACGGTGACGAAGACGAACCCTCTTGTTTCTCCCAACGTCACCTTCACCAATATCGACGAGTCCGGAAGCGTGGTTGATGTCCGGGTGAATAGCAATATCGTAAGTTCTGGAACTCCCGGCTTTTCAGGGGCCATATGCTGACGTGTACAGACCGCGCACATTATTCTGGCCATTGAGGATTCCAGGCCTATGAACCTCACGTCTTACAAACGCATAATTCTGCAACCAATCGCATAATGTTTTAATGAAGCTATTTCCGGGGATTAGAGCGTTATATAGCGTGACGATTCATCTACATGAAGCATCACGATGATGATCAATATCAAATAAACTCATATTTGTATCTTCCCTTTCCGCAGTGTGATGACTTTCCTACCGTTCAGCGGTCTTTGTCTAGACTCAACTGGTTAACTTCTCTGCCGAATATGCTTACATGTATATAGATCATTCACGTAAAAATGGCCACAGCAGGCCAATATCAGCTCCCACTTAGGGGAATCTTTCTCGATTAATGCTAAGTCCTTGAAGCGTTTACGCCGAAGATAAATACATAAACAGCAGAGTGCGGTTAGTGATGGAGAGCGTATACTACAATCAAAACTTACCTGTATCCAACATAGACAAGACCCACAGTGCGGAACTTACGGAACTGCTCTCATATCTTGGCACGCTTGGTAAGCACCCTCCCGTACTGTTGACTGATCACACCTCCTCGGCGAGACGGAGTTCATCGAGCAAGATTTGGACGTGCTGAACTAACATACCAGTCACGATCCGCAGTGCTTTCAGACGAGTACGTTGCTGGTGGCAAGTTTTTGAAGGGGCCGAAGGAGGATGCAGAAGGGGGAAGACGATGGTGGTGAATCATCCGGTGAAGAATTTGGGAGGGAAGACGAGGGCTGTGAAGACGTGCCGGGCAGAGGAGGAGAGGATGGATGTGCTGGAAAATGTGGCCGGGATATTTTTGACGAAGGAGCGGAAGGAGAGCATAAGGGAAAAGCAGCCATAATAAATGGGTAGCTGGCACAACGAAGTAGAAATAACCCTTCTTTTTTTGTTACGACCGCCGCTGCAAGACCTCCGTCTCAAACAAACCTTCCACAAAGCGGCACGTCGCTCTCACCGCCAACCTGGCAACCGTATCACCCCCCTCCAGCCTCGGATCAAATGAGCAGACAACCAGCGACGTCGGCTCCGTCTTTTGCGGCAGCATGCCCATGACCGCCAACGCATCCTCCTCCAAGAAGCCCCCCGGACTCGGCCAGTCGTTTGCGCGGCCCAGCGACTCATCGAGCACGTCCAGATCAAAGTGCACATGCGTCTTCTTCTTCCCTTTCCCACGCGCCTCCAGCAACGCCCCCAACTCCTTCGCATAGTCCTTCTTCGCCCCCGCATCCCCCCACACCACCGGCACCCCCGCCTCCTCAACAACCGCACGCTGCTCGGCCGTCACGTCGCGCAGGCCGCAGTACGCAAAGCTCTCGAGGCTGGCTGGCGTGTGGCCCGGCACCGTCGCCATGAGCGCTTTCCAACTCTTCCCCGCCATCATCGACACGGCCATGGCGTCGAGGTAACCATTGACGTTGGTCTCCGGCGTATCAAAATCGTCGTGCGCGTCAAGCCACACGAAGCCTAGATCATCCACGCCAGCCGCGCGCAACCCAGCCGCCACAGCGGCACTGGCCTGACAATTGCCTGCGAGGACGATGGGGAACGAGCGCGCGTGGACGGCGCGCGTGACGGCGGTCGATATGCGCCGCAGGACTTCGATCATGCGGCCGACCTCGCCTTCAAACGAATCGACAGGGCCGATGTTGGTGAAGTGCACGGTCGGACAGAGGCGTTCCAGTTCTCTGGCTATTCCGTGCTGGAGGATGCGGAGGGGCCCGCCGCCGACGCGGTGGTCGTAGAGGCCCATGTGGTAGGGGGCGATGATGAGGGTGATGGAGGTGGCGGCGGCGGGCATGGTGGGTGTGGGATGGCTGGAGGGAGATTGAGGATGGTGGTTGGAGGTCGTGGCAATGGAGGTGGTGTGTTTTAAATGGGCGTATGACGTAATGGTGGTCTACGAGGGCGGAATATGTATTCCTCTTTAATGCAGAAAGGGCGATGCCAAGCAACAACCAATTAGTAAACTGCAAACTTTTGTCGCGGCATCTTCTGTCGCGTGTTCATTTGTAAGCGAATTTTGATTGGGTTGTCTGAGTGCCTATCTGGATATGCATTTTCCAGTGTTATCCGAGTAGGATTTATCCGATGCGGAATGCAGTGCTCTGATACAGCCACACCGATCTCTAGATGGGCCATGTCACTGTCAAAGCACCCTTTAGATTTAAGGGATGACAGGGAGATAGAAAAAATTGTGATGGAAAAATGTACATAGCCTTGGTAATTACTGTCTCGGACAGGTATAACCACCGCTTTTGTCGCCACTTGCCACCGGAGGCGCGCTGCAAAGAAACTCTGTGTATATCGCTCTGTTTATGATTGGCTATTCTTCTCACAGGGCTGGGACTCGCTCAATATCTCCTTTGATTCCAACAAACATTCTCATAAAAGACTCATGTTGTTCAAAGGTGCACTTGTGATTCTCACACAATTGTGGCAGAGCGAGGTAGCCACCGCTGCCAAATAAAGACTTCGAACCATTAATGTAAGTGGCATTGATCCAGTAATTCTTCGGATCTAACATCGGAAAGTGATGAGTGATCTCTTAATTGCTTCATTCGTTCTATTGACCGCCTCTTCCGCCGCCTTCTTGGCTATTGGATGGAGGTAATTACTTGATCCTTTTCAGCCTGACCATCATAAGCCTTTTCATTTTTGCTCGTTTTTATGAAGTGAGATCATTTCCGTGCCATTAATTGTTTACATGCTAAGTGGAAACGCAGACAAGAAAGAAGAGGCTGGAAGAAATGGATGGACTCTTTAGCGGTTGCTAGGTCGTCGCAGGACTCCCGGTGCGGCTTGATGATCTGCCTCAGAAACAGTAGGGTACATACGATACAAGTTTGGGTTTTCTGGTGCACATTTATGATTGAGACATTGCATAAAGCACAACAGCTTACGGCAGACATTGGTGCCCTACAGAGCCGGGGTGCAGGGTTGTTGACTGTTCCAAGACGTCACCGGAAAATACGCCGCGGCAATTGATGAAACCAGCCGGCCAGCATACCATGAGAATTCGAGACGCGTAGTTTGTCCCAAGATACGATTCTCGTGGCGAACCGGTAGTCCATGTGACTCCGCATTTGTCAGTGCTTACCATAGCAGAAGTCAAATAAATAGCAGGGTTCTAACTTACTGTTCACTGTTCTTCCAATAGCACTGGGGGATCTGCGAACCTTAGCTGAGCTACTCGCGGGGCGAAGAGCGAAGGTTACTTTCAAGATTGCCTTGTGACGGGCCGGTGATCCTTAACGCAATCTGTTTCGGAAAGGACCCCGCTTATCATCTAGCAATTACCAAGGCGCAGCGGGCCGCTTGACAGCTCGCTTGACGCCATTTCCAGCATCACTACCCGCACCACGCGGGGAAGCGGAACCTCCCGGATGCGTGCCGTCGTTCCCTTAGGTATATCGATGCCCCTCGGCGTAGTCTCGGCGCAATAGGTGGGCTAGCGGCGACTGTTTTGGAGATGAGCTAAATGTTTTAGAGAACGAGCTAAATGAAGCTTACGGGCGGACCAACAGTCCGGATCGACCAATGTCATGGCTCTCCCGTGGGGGTTCTAGAAACCGTGCCTGGCAACACCTCGTGCCTTGGCAACTTTAACCTCCAGCTGAAAAGCTCTCATAAGCTCCCGTCAGCTGCGCTGCGGAACCTCAATACTGCACTCCAATCTACAACCACTTATCCAAAACCATCCACCAGCAGCGCATCTGCCACTCCGTCCCATCCGGCTCGACCCGGGACCTCCGGCACATCATCCCTTGCCCGCATCTCACCTCTCACCCAGCTCCACCCGAGCTGAACCAGACCCAACACCATGACTCGCCACAAACGCACGCCCACCACCACCAGCACCAAAGGCGCCGCCGCCGCCATCCTCGACAGCAGCCCGCTCGCCGCCGTCCTGCCCTCGGACCTCCCACCCTGGTACCGGCGGCGCAACCTGCTGCGGCTGAACTTCTGCCTACTCTCCCTCATCCTGTTCTCGTCGGCGAACGGCTACGACGGGTCGCTGATGAACGGGCTGCAGGCGTTGCCGCAGTGGAACGCCTTCATGCGGCACCCGACGGGCGCGTGGCTGGGCTTCGTCAACGCCGCGTCGTCCCTCGGGTCCATCGTCCAGTACCCCGTCGCGGCGTGGGTGGGCAATCGGTTCGGGCGCAAGGCGGGGGTGTGGGTGGGGTATGGGTTTTTGGTGTTGGGGGTGGGGTTGCAGAGTGGGGCGATGGCGGGTGGTGAGGGGGATGGTAGTGATGGTGGTGATAGGGGAGTGGCGATGTTTGTGCTGGGGAGGTTTTTTGTCGGGTGTGTGAGTGCGTGGTTTATGGTTACGACGCCGCTGTTGATTGCTGAGACGGCGTTTCCGACGCATCGGGGCGTGTTGACGTCGATGTTTAACTGCGGGTGGTACGTTGGTGAGTATCCATATGTTCCTTTCCACCCTCCCGTCCCCATATACAACTATCTCTCTTCTTCCCCGATACTGATTCGCATCCCACAGGCTCCATGCTCGCAGCCTGGGTTACTTTTGGCACGCAAACCATCCCCAACTCCTGGTCCTGGCGCATCCCGTCCCTCCTGCAAGCCGCGCTGCCACTGCTCGCGCTGCCAGGCTACCTGCTCTGCCCCGAGTCGCCGCGATGGCTGGTCTCGCAAGGCCGCACCGCCGAAGCGCGCGCCTTCTTCCTCTACTACCACGGCGACGGCACCGACTCTTCCTCCTCTTCCTCCCCACCCTCAACCTCGTCCACCACCCCTTCTCCCCCCTCCCCCTCCCCCTCCACCTCCCTCGCCGACTTCGAGCTCGCCGAAGTCCAACGCGCCCTCACCCTCGAGCAATCCTCCACCAAAACCTCCAACAACAGCTACGCCGCCATGCTCCGCACGCCCGGCAACCGGCACCGGCTCCTCATCTCGCTCACGCTCGGCGTCTCCGCGCAATGGAACGGCAGCGGCATCGTCTCGTACTACCTGCCGGCCGTCCTCTCCACCGCCGGCATCCACTCCGTGCGCACGCAAACCCTCATCAACGGCTGCATCCAAGCCTGGAACCTTCTCTGCGCGACCTTCTCCGCCGTGTATCTAGTCGACCGGCTCGGGCGGCGGCCGCTGTTCCTGCTGTCGTGCGGCGGGATGCTGGCGTGCTATGTCGCCATCTCCGCGCTGGCCGGGGTGTATGATGGCGGGAAAGGCGCCGCGGGGGTGGGCGTCGCGGTTATTCCGATGCTGTTTTTGTACTATGCGGCGTACGACGCGGCGTTTACGCCGCTGCTGGTGGCGTATCCGTGTGAGATTTGGCCGTATGCGCTCAGGGCGAGGGGCGTGACGGTGACGATTGCGACGACGAATGTGGCGATTCTGTTTAATACGCTGGTGAACCCGATTGCGTTGGAGGGGATTGGGTGGCGGTATTATATCGTGTATGTGGTGTTGTTGGTGGTGATTGGCGCGACGTGTTATTTCTTTTATCCGGAGACGAGGGGGTGTTCGTTGGAGGAGGTGGCGCGCGTGTTTGATGGCGAGAAGGCGGATGTGTCGGTCGGGTTGGGGAGAGGAGGAGGAGGAGGGGAGGGCGGCGGGTTGTGGCAGGCTGAGTCTGCGGCTTCTTCGACGCCGTCGTCATCGTCGGCGGGGGAGAAGGGGGTCGAGGTTGTGCTTGTGGATCAGGCGGGGTTGACGCATCGCCGGACGCATAGCGTTTGACGAGTTTGGGCTTGTTGTTCTTTTCTCGTTTTCTTTTTTTCCTGCATGTCGTTTATCCTCTGTAATGTGACCGGAGCACCTGTTGGAGGGGATTCGCTGTGCTGTACCCGGTCAGTATCTCCCCACTCTTACTTTCACTTGGCCCATGTATAGGACTTCAACGAGTAAATACCACAAAGCTACCTATCCTATCAGGGTGTTATTTAATAGGTTACTGTAGCTGTAAGTGTAGCTGACCATAAAATATACCGAAGAGTTCAGCTGGACTATGCAGCATACACTTGATGTTCATGACAATAACAGGACTCGTAGGCTTTGAACTTACAGAAGACAGGAATGTATTGCCTTCGACCGAAATTTACAATAAAGAGCTAACTACCAAACATGAGCATACATCTCCGACTTGGGAGACAGACCTGTCTAAACAAATACCGTGTCGGAAATACGTACAGCGATGAAATTTTTGTGTTGAACAACAAATTGCACAAAGGAAAATACAGCGTATCTTTACAACCAATTTGGCAAGGCTCTCATGTTTTTCCCATGCGCGCACACGCCTCATCCCTACCATGAGAGACCTTCAATCCAGAACCACCACCACATCATCGCTCTCTTCCGCAGATCCGCCCTCAGCATCATCTTCCTCATTTGCAACCGGCGCCGTGTCTATGACTATCCAGTTAGGGCAGGTGGTGCTCACTTCGGGGTGGCCGCTGCCCGCTCGCGCCGAGAATACCGTCGTTGGCGCCGTATATGTATCATCAAGGTAATCGTCGGAAGATATTCCGGACTTCGAGACGAAGATGATGCGGGTAGGGCCGCTGGTCTTTACTTCGGCACGGACATTGCCTCCCACGGTAATGTGTATTATCGACGTCGGAGCCGCCTCCGGGGGTGGACTGTCCGAGGACAGACTGGACAGACTTGAAAGACTGCCAGAGGCCAGACTGGATAGGCTGGAAAGACTTCCAGAGGACAGACTGGACAAACTGGAAAGACTGCCAGAGGATGGACTGTCAGAGGGAGAATCGTTACAGGGTGACTCGTCAGAAGGTGAGTGTTCGTCGGGGGTAATGCGACGGCGTTTCAGACGAGGTTCACTGGCGTTGGCGGCAGGCGCAGAGTTCCGGCGCTTGCGTGTATGGGAGGGCGAGGATTCCGATAAGGTTCGTGGACCAGAGGACGGATTTGGAGCTAGACGAGGGCGCTGTCTCTACAATGACCTGGTTAAATAAGCCGCATGGAGGATTGGTTACATACGGCTCGTCGACAGGGCCCACATCTTTTGCAAAGAGAACCATCTCTTGTGTAAAAACGATACTCGGGCTTGAGAGTACGACAGCGCGGACAATATAGATTTGGAACTTCAGGGATGGGAGACGGAGACCATTGGTTTGGGGGTAGGGGCGGCGAGGACATGGTAGCGCAAAGGCGAACAATGCTTTGGAATGACAGACGCGTGCTGATGCGACGCGACGCGTTAGATTCGGTGTTGTGTGTACTTAATTAAAGACGGGAAAACCATAGGCCGGCATGGTTGTACAAGCCGTTATTGGATGGCGTGGACATCCTGGCCGTGGCTTTAACAGTGCACGGAGGTGCTCCGGGTATATCAGTTGTGGATTCCTTCCGATCATTGTTTATCGAAAGTCAGGAAAAATACTCAGTGACTATAATTTGAGACAGACTTCTCACGCTAACAGCTACTACGTAAAAAACGAAGAATTCCCGTGTTGGTGAGCAGACAGCGCCAACGAAAGAAGCTTATAACCCAATGCCCTCATGAGTCTCCCTCATGTGCGTGTATGTATCGCCTGAGCTCTGAAAGACCGCCATGCAGAACCAGCAAATATGGATCCCACACCCCCGGCACGTCATATGATTACACCCATCCGTTTTTTCGATATTGGTGTTGCACTTCGGGCATGCTCGGACATCGTTCTCCTCCCTCCATTTCCTGAACGCAGCCTCACCATCACCAGCCAAATCCTTCGCTTCCGCACAGGACAAGCCGTCATGCGCCGCGACGTGGCACGTCGTACAGAAATCCACGAGGCACTGATCGCACAGCACGGTCCGGCCGTCTGCACTACACCTGTACACGCGGTCGCAGTCCGGTGTTGGGCAGAATTGGAAGACGTCGAGACGGGCGCGAATATACGATAAGAAAGCCTTTTGCAGCAAGGCCTCAAATTCTGCAGCAGGGAGAGCTTCAGAGAGCTCTCGAAGTGTCATGACCTCATTGCAACACTCAGAACCGCCTCCGAGACAGCGGACCGGGATGCCCGTGTCTTCACCTGCCGACGAGCATTGGCCGGCAAGGCACTCACGGCAGTACGTGTGGCCACAGTGCCTGCGGACGGGGTCTTCGGGTGTCGTCCAGCACACGGCACAAAGATCGTCCTCGTCTGTGGGGGAGAGCGCTGCCATCCGGTGCTGCAGTTCACCCTCATCATCACCTGTGCCAGATATTATGGCGCAGACTCTGTCAAAATCGTTTGCGGAGCCCCGGAAGGTGACTGTCTTCGGTGTTCCCGTGATGTCGATCTTGACTGCATCCTTGCCGAAGGTCTCAACGAGGCGCTTGAAGCCTCCGTGGAGGGCCAAACGAAGCGATTGTGGTGTCAAGGGGATCGTGTGGACCATGCTCAAGCGCTCTGACTTGCGCTTTCTGAGTGCCGCTTCTGCATCCTGCACGGCATTGGGGAGACCGTAGATGCGTAGGAGCGTCTTTTTCATGTCGCGGTAAACAAGGACCGAATGCTCTTCCATGAGACGTTGGATGAATTCGCTCCCGGCGGGCTGAAAGAAGAACAGGTCGTGAATTGGATCCCCGCCATCCTTGGCTATTGTACCGGCAAGGATCTTTTCCACCGAGCCCTTCGCTTTGGCTACCGCTTGGCGATCGTCTCCGTATATCCGCAAAGTCGTATAGAGAGAGTGGGCCGGCGGATCGTAAACTTTGATGTGGACGTGGTGCGTCTCCCAGATCTGTGCCTTCAGCTCATCCACGTCTGTCTGAACCGCTCGTAGAATGAGAAGCTGTACGGAAAGCTTGATGGAGACAATTGCCGAGACGTGAACCTTCGAATATCCCAGCTCAGGAACCTTGCGCCCGTCAAGTTGGCTTGCCGCCTTCCGAGCGTCCTCGGCGCTGACGAAGCGAGCTGTGGCCTTGCCTTTGACACTTGTGTGATCGTTGATCACTTCCCAGTCCGAGAGCGGCCCAAATTCTTCCAGCTGACGCCTCATGATGCGTTCTACTGCGTAGTCAGGAGTATCATAAGATGCAGCCCCCCACTTGATGTCCTTGGGCTTGTTTCGAGAGAGGGCATGAAGCAGGTCCGGGGACGTTGTGTCTACATGCAGGTTGCCAATCTGGACGGAGTATACTTCGTTACTGAGGCCTCGCAAGACGTGATTTCGAGGCGCCCGGTATGTCAGTTGCAGCTTTCTTCCCCGAATTGTCCCCTTCCCGAGGAGTTTGACAGCAGCAAGAGCCGCGCCCTCATTCGCGAAGTGGAGCCAACCAACCTTCGACGGCTTGAACCAAGCGCAGCTAACGGTACTCAGCTGCAACCGCTTCGCACCAGAATCACCATCCGCATGTTGTATGCGCGTTGCCGCCAACGTCCTGCCATCCATCCTCAGCTTATGTCCAGCCTGGCGCAGGAAGTTCTCCGCAAACGACGGGTCCTCGACCCTGATTTCCGCAACTTGTTCCGAGCCATCGGGGATTGGCTTCAGTTGAATGCAGTCCGTACGAACGTTTGCGAATCCGAGCGAGGCCACAAATGCAACTATGCGGCCGACGTTGACGCCGAGATGAACGTGCGAGAGCTGGACTGCCGAGAAGTCGGACCGCAGCGATACGCTCTGTATCGTAGCTCCGTCGCCAAAGATCACGGTTGCGCCGCTGAGCACCTTGGACAGCTCCCCGGCGTGGGTGAAGGTCGTTTCGGGGGTAGCTTGCGTCGTTGGCGTTTCTTGTGGCCGGTAAAACGGAGCAGGAGGTGTGGGAGCGACGGCAACCTCGGAAATGGCTGGATTTTCTGGAGCTTGGCTGATTTCATGGCTGAACCGGCAGCCCGGTCCTTTCTGGCAGACTCCGCGAAGGAAGAAGGTACAGACTGGGACACCCCTCTCGTCTGTCTTTAACGCTGTCGTAGTGGGTGACTTACCAGTGTGCTTGAACTTGCAAGAGAACCCGTATTTGCATTTACCTTGGGAGAAGAAGATGCAGACGGGCGGCTCGACGTGGTTTTGTGCTGTGGTTGGAATAAAGTTGTCGGCCCGTTGCGCGAGAGGCTGGGAGATCCGCGAGCCTGCGGAAACGCCTGAAAGTTCCGGCAGAGGCCACGTGGGCTTCGCTTTGATGTGCTGGAACATGCACGTGTCGCCCCTGCGACAACCGCCCTGCTCAAAATAACGACATACGGCCATTGCTGGAAAAGATGTTGTGTTTCAGTTTATGGATCGCGATGGATGTAGTGCAGACGCTGTGGTGGGGCTGCATTGCGGGGGTTAAGCCTTTGATGTGGCACAGTTGACGTTGGTGCATGCACTGTCCTTCGTTGCTCAGAAAACTCTCGCGATGAGCCGTGAGAAAATGTATGGAAGATCTAATTCACAACAGCCGAGCGGCAGAGGCGGAGGCGAACATGTACCATAAGGTATAGGCCTCTGTATGTGAGCTTAGGTAGCTGGGTTTGTTGCAATGTATTCACGAAGATGGTGATGATCATAGCGTCAAGCATTGTCTGAGTCTTACAGGGGGGTCTTGCAGCCGACGGCTAGCATAAAGAACAACAAGGCACCAGCCGTAACCATACCCCAGCTTTTTCTTCGAAAAATAACATATATGAGTAATTGGAGCTATCGTCCGGACAACAATGTGGAAATAAAAATACTACATATACGTCCGGACGATAACTTCAACCACCTATAACCTGAGCAAAAATGATCCACGCTGGCCATCGGCTGCGAGATGGGACTGTACACATTTGGCCTAGTGTGCGACGGGATATGTGACAGGAAATCAAGAGATTGCATGGCCCCCAACCCGCCAAGCAGTGCTGCTGGTCCAATTGCAGATAAGCTTCGGCTCCGGAATAAGCTGACAATCAGCCCCGCCTTCGAAAGGAGAACCTGATTGCTTCAGCTGCCTCACGTTTTCATGTGCAGCTACCAAACGTGCAGGTGCAGGCTGTTTGCTTTCCAGTCTGATCGTTGGACGTGATAGTAGTTCGCTATCTGTCCTGCATCATGTCCCAAGAGCACAAGACCTTGACGTACCGTGTGCGTCAGCTCCCTCTCCAGTTTGGCAAGGCTGAAGTCATCTCGACTTTACAACGGCATCTTCAGCAAGACACGGACCCACCAGAGGTTCGCGTATACTCACTGGCTCAAGATCTCGCCTCTTTTCACACATCACGCACGAAGACAGCAACTGTTACTATTATCCCTTTACCGGATCATCTCAAGACACAGACAAGATGGGATTTCCGGACAAATTACCAGGGATCGGAACATAGCGTCGTCGTCGACCGCGAATTTCTAGACTTTACAGTCCTTAACGAAGTTCACGAAGGGGAACACATATTAGAGTAAGTGCGCTTTGAAACAAATTAGTTAGCATCACTCTAATTGGAGCAGCTGCATCGCAGTAAGTGGCCTCGGCAGTCATCCGTTTGGCTCTTGGCAATGTCGTGGTGGGAGTCCATACATGTGGCTCAGGGATGGGATTCCTCACGACCTGCCTGGCATCCGGTCTATCATTTATGGTTACGATTCCCCGGTTCCAAAAAGCAACTCGTTTCAACGCCCCCATGATATAGCGGCTCGATTTGTCAACCGCCTGAGATCTGTGGGATTTGGATCTTCGCAGTCGAAGCCAGTGATTTTCCTCGCCCATAGTCTGGGTGGGATAATACTCAAGGAAGCTCTTATCATCCTTGCAGGTATCTCGGATCAACAGCACTCTATTCTGGGAAACCTCAAATCTGTTATCTTCTTCGGAACGCCACACAAGGGCATGTCAACCGAGCAGCTCATCACCATGGTTAGACACCAGCCAAATGAAGACTTGGTCCGAGATCTTTCCCCGGACTCATCGTACCTCTTCCATGTTGAAGAGCGCTTCAACGGAGTTCAAGTACCTAGAGCATTTAGAGTTGTCTCCTTCTATGAGACGAAAACAACTAGAACTGTTCAGGTCAGTGAATTGCACGTTGGCGTTCTTCGAGAAAACGTACTAATCAACTCTGAAGGAAAGCAATGACGGCACATGGTCAAGGACCGGCCCCCATATCCGCATGGTGGACAGGCAATCCGCGATACAAGTCTGCTCTCGTGACCCCGAGGACATCTACAGTATCGACGAAGACCATTCCGAAATGGTCAAGTTCCCGGCCGGTGACTTGAACTACAAATGCGTACTTGATTGCCTCGGAATGGCTACATCCACCCTCCACAAAAACTCCAACCGGCAGTTTGGGAACGCTCCTCATGCTTCGGAAGACACTCATAGCAAAGTTGACGGCAACTTCGATGGGGAGGCTGAATCATCTGCTGATCCTACAATGCATGTCCCGGATTCGGAGAAAACGTCTCCGAAAGGTTTGGCTCCCATACAAACTTCATAGACGAGCGCTAATTTGTTTTAGAAATTCTTTCATCGCTTCGACTGCAGATTCTCGACCGCAGGAGGGCCGATGTTTCAAAACCTCACCAGTCCACTTTTAACTGGATCTTCAACGAAAACGCCCTCGGTTTCACAGACTGGTTGCTAAAAGGCGAAGGGGCGTACTGGATACAGGGCAAACCGGGCTCAGGAAAGTCCACGCTTATGAAACACATCACGCACCACCGGTACACCTACAGTATTCTTCAGAGGTGGAGTCGCCCTGGATATGCCATCACAGCAGCCTTTTTCTTCTATTACCGCGGCTCAAAGATCCAAAAATCGTTCGATGGCTTGATCAGAAGCATTCTGCTCCAAGTCTTGGATGCCATGCCTCAGCTTTGCTATTTCATCCCGAAAAAATGTTTGCCGAAACCGGGAAGACCAGATTTCGACTGGAGTTCAACAAATTTGGATCATGCGTTGCAATCTGTTCTTGCACATCGAGATACAACTCGGAAGATTTGTCTATTCATTGATGCTTTGGACGAGTTCGATGGACATCTCGAAGTTCTGGCCGACTTCTTGCAGACTTTAATCAAAGGAGGGTGCAAAATCTGTTTCTCAAGCCGACCAAGGGAGATCCTCGAAAAATACTTTGGATCTTTCCCAGGGATGAGCATTCATGAGCATACGCAAAAAGACATTCGGAGCTACACCGTTGGAAGACTAGCCGCTCTACCCGGCCTACAAAACCCAAGCCATCTGACCTGGGAGACGCGCGACGCAGTCAATAATGCCGTGAGGCAAATCACTCAAAAAGCGAACGGAGTCTTCCTATGGGTGAAGCTAGCTTTGGATCGAATTGAGCAAGACGGAGTTGTCGCAAGCACTCTTTCTGAACGGCTACAAGAAGTCCCGTTAGAGTTGGAAGATTTCTATGCGTCAATCATTGAGCGTGTTCATCCAGATTACCTCTGGGAGACGTATCTTACCCTCGATGTCATGCTTCGAGCCCATGAAGAACCATTGTCACTATACCTCTTCTGGATAGTCAAGGCTATCCGATGTCAGACTTTGGCTGAATGTGTCGAGACGAGGAAAGCAAATGACTTCTGGCAATTCTGCCAACATTTGAAAGAGTTTTGCGGCGGCTTGATTGAAATCTCTGAGCCATTCAATGAAGAAAACCGCATTCGTCTCATGCACGAAACCGTACGAGAGTTTATTGGCGGGCCAAGGTTTCAAGAACTCATTGTTGGCAATGCGTTTTTGTTGAACGCTCAGAATGGATATACGGAGCTTGCCAAGTTTTATCTCACTGATCTGAAACTTCCGAAGAGGGGCGCCATGCTTGGCTGGAACCATATGAAGACGTGCTACATTTATTCCAACCTTGCGGAACTTACGACGGGCGTTTGTCAGTCTCAGTTAATCGACGACTTGAAGCCGGCCGAACTTAAGCAGGCTTATGATAAACCTCATGGTCACCGACTTCCTGAATGCCCGACTTCACCGGTAGAGTTTGCTGTTCGCTCCGGACTTCTGCTTTACATAAAACAGAAGTTGGCATGTAGTGAGGGCCCGGATTCATTTGCTCAAGAGGCTCTCCATAGTGTAGTCAGAGTTTCCCTTGAGAAGGAGCTGTTAGATGCAAGATACAACATGGAAAACGAGCCGGGTGTCAATCTTGCACATCCTGATAACAATTTTACACGTCCCTATCGCTATAATACAGGAATGGATCGTTCGACATATTTGTATGGGGATCTTGATCCCGACTTCAGCCGTATGGCCCGGGTGATCCTGGAAGGAACAAGCTCACAATCTCTTGGCTCAAAAGCATTCCAATACCTTTCACTTGTCCAGGGGAGAAGAATTGTTTCTTACTATATCCTTGATCCCGATGAACTTCATTCAAGGATTTATGGGCTTCATCAATCCGAGAATATCATTGAGCTGGCTCGCATCTTTCTCGACAACGGACAGGATCCAAACGTGGAGATTATTGAGGATTCAACATTCGCATGCAGTCGATATGGAAAATTAAAACACCCGAGGCCATTGCACCTTGCCTTCGAAAATATGGCAGACCTTCTTTTGAGCTACAGGGCCGACCCCAATGCCAGAGACCGAGTCGGAAGAACGCCACTGGACGTAGCTATTCAGAGGCTAGAATTTTGTCGGCTGGCCTCTCGCTTTGATCAAGTGATCGTACGACTCATGAATATGTTGATGGAGAAGGGGGGTTGCATTACTCGGGTCGGGTTTAGACTCTTTCCCGTATGCGTCATCACATACCGGCGACTCAACTGTAATCTTGAGAGGCTACGGGACCTGCCACGGAGGTCTGTCGAGCATGGATTCCTGTCCAAGTTTGACCTTCATATTCTCCCAGTCTTATCAGGGGTGGACCGGCATCTTCGAATGCTGGTAGAACATTACAAGCGGGACGATAATGACTACCTCTGAAGTCTCAGGCTTTGATTTCTTAGTGTTGAATATATCTTTCATTCAGAGCTGAAAAAATACCCAAGATTTTATTTTAGTGGAGCCCTGACAATTAATGCGTACTTGGAATCAGACATCAAGATAACCATTTAATACCCGTATTCTTCCTCCGTGAAGCCAATACGCTTGCAGGCGAGCATTGAGAGGTCAGTCGTGGTCTAGAAAGGCCGAGCCTGATAGTAATCGCCTGACTTTCTTCTCTGGAGCATAGGAAATGAGAAAGTAAGCATGTAAAGCTAAGATTTAGGCAACGGCTAGATCTTCCCCACATCCAACGAAAGCGGAAGACGTTGCATGCAAATCTTAGAGATCACCGAACAATAATTGCCTACGTTAACGTGAAGGTTCCTCGGTCGATCTCCAGCCCCCTGGATGGATCCATCTTCCTCTAGTCAACGCACCATGACTTGCATTTCCATAGCGCGGATCTAGTGTGGCCATCATCCGCTGACTGAAGTGTTGCATGTGAGCAGACGTTTGGGGTCATCTCCCCGGTTGAATTTTCAACTGAACAGTAGCGCATACATCTTGAAGGATTCTGAATGCTTTTTGCCCCATCCCGAAGGACAAAGACTCCTTCCTGCCCTATGACGATGGCATGATATGAAACTTGGTTGTTTTCCAGGATCGACAGCAATGAGGATTCTCGAATTGCTTATTGCTTCTTCCCTTCTGCGAGCAGCCACATCCGTTCAGACTCGATGGGGCGATGGACGGCTGTCCCTGTCGCATGCTGGCCAGTCGTGCGTTGGACTGGGGATCCCCGACCTGCGAAGCTGACACGGCAAGGCTGAAATCCAGAATCTTCGCGTGCCACTGCAGCTACCCCACTCGCTACCAAGGCCGCGGTCTAAGGGCATCTTGATCAGCTGCGAGACATTCAAGTCACAGGCGTTCGAAGCTAAGTGTTGCAGGTCAGAAGATGTAGCGGTTGGATGAAGCTCGCCAGGTAGTACCTCAGTGCAGCTCAACCGAAAATGGCTCAGCCCTCAGCCAACAAAAACAGGCAACGCGTCGGCCTGTGCTTCCAGACCCCGCGTTGCTGTGGGCCACATCGCGGCCATTTTCCTTCTCTCGGAGCAAAAAGTGGTCTTTCTCCATGGACACGGCCCACGTCTTCATCCAACGTATGCGTACAGAAAACCAACGGTCTGCCCACATTGAGGTCCCACGCGCGTCAGCACTTTGATCGATATTAGTGCTGACGTGTCAGGCTGCGCATACCCATCCCTCCGTGCCGCTGCATGCGGCCGCTCTGATGCGCATTTGACAGGACGGGATGTCACGCCAATCGCACGGCCTGCGTAGCTGCACGCTGCGGTCCAGGGAGAAACCATGCCGTCCGTCGGTTGCATATCTCGCTAAGCAGCAGCAGGCGTGGCGCATGGCTTGCAGAGCTCTGGGCCATGCCTCCTTTTGACCACACACGGTGACTTCCAACGTCACGGCGCAGGCCGGCGACCAACGGTAAGTGGCGGTGCTCGGCGTCGACATCGTGACCTTGCCTCATCTCTGCCTGCATGCCATGCTACCTCCCCAAAAAAGAACCCATGGGCCCCGCGGCATCCGAAACCGCTCTCGATCGACTCCACACTCGATCCGGGCGGAGCGTTCAATATTTGTCCGACTGCATCACTAGCTCCGCCCACCCTTGAGCCGAAAAACGCTCATATCGCCACGCGGCCCGCGGTGTACAGTTACTCCCGAGCGAAATGATCATCGGACCGGGCTGCGGGACGGCTCGGCATGCCACGAGCCCAGACGCTACCGGCGCTGCGAGTACATACAGCAGGATCGCGAAGGTTACGGCAAATTCCTCGTTCCTGCGGCTCGTCAGTCATCAATCTGCTGCTGCTGTGCTCGCCACTCGTGCCGTAAAAGTCAAACCCCTATTCATAGAAGCAAATATGTCCATTCTGTACACCCGCGCATGTCTTGAAACCCAGCGAGCCGCGCCCGTGGAATTAAGGCTTGGTCGCGAGCCGCTCGGGATCTGCAACCTTAAATTAATGAGCGAGGAACAACGCTGATGGGTGTGGTGGAAATTGGGGATAAATCCTCCTCGGCAGCGCCGCCGGGCTTCCGCGGACCCAGAATGGAGGATTTTGCGCGTAGGGCGGCGGCGCCTCGACCGATCACAAACGGCAGGGCAAGTCGTATTCGCCAACACAGCTGACGGCGGGCGGGGCGCCTGAAGATTTGTTTCATGGACGTTGCCCAAGGAAAAAGCGTTCGTGCAAGGCATGCACCCACGCAGCAATTGGACGGGTTCCTGAAAAAGTAGGGGAATATGGCGGAGACAAACTTTGGCGGCTGAGACTCGCGTTCTCGCGGGGCCACGCGCTCGCACGCGGCTCTCGTTCTATTGCGTCACGCTCTGCCAGCTCCCGGTGTCACCTTATGCGAGTCTCTCCTTTTCCTTTCCGTTCTCTGCCTTATCATGCTGGCCTGTCGGCGCTATGCCTTGGCTGGTTGGTGGAGCTCGTATTGGCGCCGCTCCCGCGCATTACTGCTTACCGGGACAAGGCTTCTGATACAGGCTGGAAGCGTAAGCGTGTGCATTCGCGAGGAAAGGATGTGCGCTGCGGGCTGTGAGCTGGCTTTAGCCCCCTCAGGGATGGCCAATCGATGTGGAGCCTGCCGATCTGCCGATTGGACGGGGAAGCGAGAGCAACGCGGGCAAATCCCCAACTCTCAGGCCTCGCCGCATCATCGAGCGACAGTCATGGCGCCAACCCTCCGAGCTGGCCGTCACCGCCACGTGCATAGCACATCCCGTTCAGGACAGCGGAGCTCCTTTCAAATCTTTTCATCTTCCAATTGGCACCGCCGGCCAGCTCGCGAAATCCTCCGGTTGGGCCCCCTCGGCTTTGCCGGGCCAATGCAGCTCTCCTGACAGCGTTACTTCGCCCGTCCTTGCGTTGAGCAGACAGCGCCGCCGGCTAAGCAGCGGAAAAAGGAAGAAGTGCCACGCCCTGTCTGCAAGCCCCAAAATAAGCAGGGCGCTCGCTGCTCTCTCACTCTTTTTTGGGGCCTGCTGAGCAATGCCATCATCGTCAGCGGGCTGCTCTCTGCCCACCCTCTCCTGGGGCCATGGGCAGGGACGCAGGGCCCCAGCTCGCCGGGATCTTCGCTTGCGAGCCGCGCGGGAGGCTAACTGTGTGAAGGTGCGGTGACCAGGTTGAGGTTTCAAACACATCGAACACGCGGGACAGGCCCCCATGCACGAGGCCCCAACTTTAATAAAGCCATGGCCAAGCCCTATTGACTAATTCCAGAAGGTTGAGCGCGGGGCGTTAAACTCAATTGTGATAGCACCTGGTGGCGCTGTCAGATCACTGCCATGGACACGCCTCGCTCCGATGCACCCCTCTCAGCGCCCAGCACGTTCTTTTTATAAAGCTGCCCCGGAGCCTCGCCCATGAATACTTGCTCAAACGGCCTCAGGGACAGGTAAGTTAGGTAAGTCGCAGGGACGAAGGTCAGTCAAGAAACAAAGAAGAAAAAAAGTCTCCGCAATGACTCGCCTTCCTCTTGCGCTCAGCCTTGCGGCCATGGCGCTGGCCAAGACTGTCGAGGTCGACTGGGATATCGGCTGGGTCAACGCCGCTCCGGATGGCTACTCGCGGCCCGTCATCGCCATCAACGGGCAGTGGCCGCCGCCGCCGCTCCACGTCGATGTCAACGACACCATCATCGCACATGTCACTAACTCGCTCGGCAATGAGACGACCAGCGTTCACTGGCACGGCATGTGGCAGCAAGGCACGCCCGAGATGGACGGCGGCGCCGGAATCACGCAGTGTGCCATCCCGCCGGGCGAGACCTTTACCTACGAGTTCACCGCGTACCCGGCCGGCACCTTCTGGTACCACTCGCACGACATGGGCCAGTACCCGGACGGGCTGCGGGCGCCCATGATCGTCTACGACTCGCAGAACGAGAACCAGCCCCACCCGTCCGAGCAGTACATCCTCACCGTCTCCGACTGGTACCGCGACCAGATGCCCGGCCTGATCAACAGCTACCTGACGACGCCAAACTTCGACGGCCGCATGCCCAACCCCAACTCCAGCTTGGTCAATGAGGGCGGGTCGACGTCGATCAGCATCCAGCCCGGCCAGCGGAAGTACATACGCCTGATCAACATGTCCGCTCTCGCTACCTACTACCTGCAATTTGGTAAGTCCACGTGCCTCTCCGATCATTGGTTGATTAGACTAACACGTGCCGCAGATTCCCACAACATCACTGTCGTTGCAATCGACAGCGTTGATAGTAAGTAGTTCTTCTCAGCCCTGCGCCCTGACATCCCGTCCCTGCGCCGCCAAGCTGCACGATGTTCGGTAGACGAGCCGCAGCTGCATACGGACCCACGCACGAAAAACAACCTTCTTTTTCTAGTGCTGACCACTGTTACGCAAATCCCTAGTCGAGCCGCAGAGCTGGGAGGCACTCGAGGTCGTGCCGGGCCAGCGGTACGACTTCTTCATCGAAGGGCTCGAGAACCCCGACCGGAACTATGCCTTCATCAACCAGATGGCCGTGCTGGGCTTCCAGAACGTCAACCAGCTGGTCTACGACGAGAGCTTCGGTGCGGCGGAGGCCTTCACCCTGTCGACGGCCAACCTCGGCTCCGACTTCGAGCTCGTGCCCGTCGATGAGGAGCCGCTGCTCGGCCCCGTCGACCACACCATCACCATGGAGGTCAACAACCTGAACATCGACGGCGTCGGCTACCGGTAAGCCTCCCTGCGCCACACAATCCTTTCCCGTCCCATCCCATCCCACCCGAGTCCCACCCCAGTCCACCCCAGTCCCCATCCCGTCCCGTCTCAGTCCACCTCAATCCCCAACCCCGGCCACACCCTCTCCGCCCCTACCTTACCACTCCTTACTAACCCTCCCTCCCCTCCACAGCATCACTCAAGGCCCCGACCCCTACATCTCGCCGCGCACCCCGTCGCTCTACACCGCGCTCAGCACGGGCTTCAACGCGACGGACCCGGCCATCTACGGGCAGACCAACGCCTTCGTCGTCAATGCCGGCGAAGTGGTGCAACTCGTCGTCAACAGCAACGACCTGGTGACGACGAACAACTCCGGGCGCGGCCACCCGATGCATCTGCACGGCCACATCTTCCAGGTCGTCGCCCAGCTGTCCGAGCACTGGGACGGCGACGACTCGTCGTTCCCCGCAGTCCCGATGAAGCGCGACACCAGCGTCTTGTTTGCCGGCGGCAGTCTGGTTGTCAGGTTCCGCGCTGATAACCCCGGGATTTGGATGTGTGAGTTTTGATCTTTTGTACAAAGCCCAGAAAAACGATCTGACTGATTGTATATGACAGTCCACTGCCACATCGAATGGCATCTCGACGCCGGCATGGCTTCTACGATCGTCGAGGCCCCCATCCAGCTGCAGCAGCTCGGCATCGAGATCCCGCAGGACCACCTCGACTCGTGCCGTGCGATGAACTTGTCGACGTCGGGTAACTGCGCTGGCAACACCCAGAACTTGGACGACACGGCGTCGTGCCATGTGTACGATACTGATCCGTGGGGGTGAGTGTGATCTTTCGACCCTCCCCCTTTTTTTTTTGTGATCGATACTGATGAATGACTGTTTGCAGCGCGCTTATCACTGGACCCGGCACCCCGGGGAATGGAACGAATGGGACGCTAACGTGCTACGGCGCCGCCTGTTAGAGGCGTTTTGTATTGTTTAATTTTTAATATACGTATCGTATCCCGCTGTATGGAGCGGCGTGTTGTATGCGAAGCATATTCTCGTTGACATTCGCTGTGTCTCATAAAATTGTTGGGGGCGTACTGTCGTCTTCTACTCATGATGCAATAAGTCTTACGAGAATGTGGTCCAATTAGTGATATGGGGGGGGG